CCCTATCCCCCCCCCCCCTCTCTGACACATACACACAACACATATGTGGTATTATAACTATGAAAAATACAATTGTAATTCGTTTTCTTCGCTCTTCTCGTCAAGTACCACTACTACATTTATAGATGCGGAGCAGCCAATTAGGGTGACGCATGCCTGCTCTTCTTTCATATTCGCAGCATATGGAATTCGAAATTTTAGCATTTCCCTCTAGCTGTTTCCTGTCCGTACGTAGGAGGTTGCGTTCGTAGCTGGCAGGACCTGTGTGTAAGTCGGGAAAAATTTTGGACAGATGGTACTATTGTGCAGATATCTTCTAGTGGCCTAGTATCCTAAGAATTCTTCATGAAAAATTACTAATGTATAGTACCTCGGATTACACGTAATAACTCAATTGATTGTTATGTACTAAACGAAAAACTGGCATTATGTTTCGCTGGCCAATAAAAGAAGCATACAAATTTCTTTTATACCTTTATTATATTATGTTTGAGATTTTAGCATTCCACCTGAGAATTGCAGTCAGTTTCTTTTCTATTATAATTTCTAACGGTGTACGTATTATCACCTTGGCATAAAGTTACGTGCCCACATTATTATTGAATCATTAGATAACGTGAAAATATTAGATTTAGTCGCGTACAAGTGTTATGCTGCAACGAGATTAATTCATGAACTATATATTGTTACGTGTCGCTGATTAAGAAAAGGATAAAATAATAGTTACGTGAAATATAAAATTTAAAATAGTGGCTCAAAGTATTATGTATATTTTGACACAATTTCTAATTGAATGTGAAACAATTGTGTATTAATTACTATCGGAATACAGTGATGTGTTATATATGTTCGTCTCTTCAAAGAACTGTTTCAACCTTGATCTGATGGTATGGCATAAATGGGAATGAAAGATGATATTAAACTTTGTCGCATTTATTAAATCAATTTTTATATTTATTTTCTACAGAATACATGGACATCATTACAAACGGGATTCAACTTTTAATATTAGTGCAGTAGACCTTCTGGATTAATGATGGTGGACAAATTAAAGATATAGCGGCAGCTGACAATCATTCGTTGTACAATAATCGTGCAAATTGTAAATTTGTTAATATCGAGAATTTTATATTATTAAATGCCGAATGTGCGTTTTTTACTATAATTTATCGCAGTGGATAGAATATTTGTTACACTTATTGACATTTTTACACTGACGAGTCTTAAGAGAAATCATTAAAATTTATTTCTATAGCATTTTATTAAAATCGACGTTTGCTTGAAGTAATACTAATTATGACTTTATGAGTGCATTTAGACATTCAAGTGTATTTAAACGATATTGATACCTGAGACACTTTCCGTATTTTTTATAAGTACGCACCAGACTTTAGTATTCCCTTCTTACCATATATTATGCTATGTTCATTCATCATTTTATCTCAAAATACTGCAATCAATCTAAATGCAGTGAAACTTTCATTTCAGGAGAAGGAGCTCCATAAACAGTATCAAATTACTTGACCGGGAGAAGGAGAGATTGCAAACGTGGATAAATATTGCAATATGTAAATATAATCTGCATACTCAGGGTATCATACAAATTCAATCGATCGTAAGAATATTAAATGAATTGTTCAACGGGAGAAACTAATATTATTTTGTAAGCGAAAGCCTGTTTTGTTGATGAAAGTATGAAATTCATGAGAATGATTGGAGAATAACTTAGTATTAACATAAAGATGTCGTAACATTATGGAAACACTTTATATTACTTTCAGAAACTCATTGGGCCTTTTTCAGTTTTTATTTTTACTTTATTCATCGCCAGCTATTTCTTCCATAAACATTAAGATCATTGTTTTTGTATGAATATCTATTGTCATAGTAGGTATGTGTCAACGACTGTCTTTGATTATTTTGATTTATTTATATCAACAGAATAAATTATCTTTTTTTTTTAGAATTTTTTCACTACAAAATCGTGAATAATCATAATAATAACATAATTGTTCATTTATGCTAATCGTACGGGCGCTTCAAATAAAACAACCGTATAACGTCCCGTTATTAAAATCAATGAAAACCATTTTAGTACAATACTTCCGTTATAGAAAATTTTATATTTTAAATCTGCGTTTCTAGTCCTGCTTATCACAACACTATATATACGTTAACCAGAACTTGAACTTCCGTTTAATATGAAATCTAAGATGGTTATTAATTCAGTGTTAAATTACCTGTAATCTCAATATCATAGCAACTCGTTACAACAAACTATTAAAAATTCTATTTAACTATAGATTTTTTTGCGAAAATAATTTTTATACAACACGTTGTTTTTGATAACATTAAAAACTATAAATGTATACTTTGTTCACTGTGTAACTTTCCAGTGAAAGGAATAAATTGACATAAGCAATAACTGTATACCAATTGTGAAATCAAGCGTATCGACACATTTCATGAATTGAAACTAGTCAATGAACAACACTATCATATTATTTGTTTGCATTAATAAGTCATAGAAAATGTTCCATTATAAAGTAGCGTAGGCATGAAATGATATCTATGTCTATTGAATTTACTAATGTTACAGGCGTTGACAAATATGCGTTGAACTAGTACCGTGAAGCATTGCGTAAACTCTGAGTTAAATAAATATTTGACAGAAAAAGATAGCATCATTAGTAGCTTATTTATTTGTTTATAATACTCCAATACTAGCCCAAACGTAGTTTTCATTCAACGACAAGCAACTATTGCAATTTTAATTGCGAGCGACCGGATTTTTATAACGTATATCACTTATCCGTGTGTGCGTTTGTCATTTATATATTATTTGCCAGCAAATAACTTGAAATTCCAGTATGCTAATTTCGGTACTACGAATATTGATTTAAAATACAGAAAAAGTACAAAGAACTTAGATTCCGGATAATCCATAAACTGGATTCCATTGTTGCGTACAACGAATAAACGTAGCTCGTCGAGGCAATTCTCGCAATCGAGATGCTCCAGTGTATGTACAAGCTGAACGTAATCCGCCTAATATATCTAATACTGTGTTTTCAACGAATCCTTTGTATGGTACTTCAACCGTTTTTCCTTCAGAAGATCTATAGTGAGAATAGAAGCAATATCTCTTGAGTATAGGTTTGCGTGGTAGATTCCATTCCATTATTATATAATATTTATGCATCATCTCATACCTGTATTCAGCGACCCCTCCTGCATGCTTTTCCATTGCCGTATTGGAAGACATTCCGTAAAAGAGCTTAAATTTTTTTCCATCTTTTTCTATCGTGTCTCCTCCACACTCGTCATGCCCAGCGAACATACCACCGGCCATAACAAAATCCGCACCAGCACCGAAAGCTTTAGCCAAATCACCAGGACACGTGCATCCGCCATCCTTAAAAAAGACGTTTTAAAATAATTTTTTTTGTTTGTCTGATTTTTGAAAAAACTTTTCAATTTACGTCGGTGATTAATAGGGAAATTATGATTATATTATATAATAATCTATTATCTAATAGCTGATTATAATTGTTTTACTCACAGATATGATATGCCCTTTTAATCCATGCGCAGCATCGGCACATTCGATTACAGCACTTAGCTGAGGATAACCAACCCCAGTTTTCATTCTAGTTGTGCACACAGAGCCTGGACCAATTCCAACTTTAATTATGTCTGCTCCAGAAAGTATTAATTCTTCTACCATTTCACCCGTCACCACATTTCCAGCCTGCATAACGAATATGTATAATAATAAAATATATTACGAATTGTAAAGACAACTGTTGTTGTTCTGGAGCAACTTAAACAATCTTCTAAAATTACTGAATTCTGTGTATATAATTCTATCAACCTTATACATTGCCTTTATTTTCTAGAGATGTCTTATGATTAAAGAATGACTCACAATTATCGTATGATTTGGAAATGCTGCCCGTACTTCACGGACATATTTAACAAAGTATTCAGTATATCCATTTGCGACATCTAAGCAAATGAATTTAATTTCTGGAACAGCAGCGAGAATGTCCGAAAGTCGGTCGAAATCTCCAGTTCCTATACCCGAGCTGGCTGCGATATTTTTCAAGCATTCTGGATTATTACCAGCAAACTCTTTCCATTCATTTGCGGTGTAATATTTGTGAATTGCTGTGAAAAGTCCGTGCTGGTGACATAACACACATTCAATTTCAGTACTACCACTTACGGATACCACTAAGAAATGTTTCAGCAATAGTTTAATATTACTAGTAGACGTGAAATACAGTTCACGGCTTTCTTTAGATTAGATAACATCAACGAACCTTCGATAAACTTTTTGCCATCTCAAATGTACCAACAGTATCCATATTTGAAGCCATTACAGGAATTCCTTTATACGTTTGCTTCGAGTTTCTAAACGTTATTTCTCTGAATAGGTCGACCTAAAATTCAGATGTTTTTCTTACATTTCATAATGCTCCGGAAGTTTCAAATGTATTTTTGTGATGTGTGCATCTAATGAAACGTGCAATAAGAATGAAATAATGATAAAAATATATAAGGCGTAGGATATTTTAACATGTGTTAAGTTTGTTTTATTTTTCAAATACCGCGTATAATTAGTTTTAAATGAAGTTTGATAGTAACAGTTAAGTCATTAGAGCAATGGTAGAATACTGTTTGCCACACAATATTCTTATTGTTGCTATTCTTTTAAATTTGTTATCAGCACTGAAAGCATTAATATTAGATGATTCCTTTAACTACTAATATACATTTGATAAAGACATAATGATATACTCAGCACTGATAGTGAAGTACGTATGCGGAATGCGCCTCAAGTCAAGGACTTATTTGATCGACAATGAGAATACGAATTTTTTTTTATTTCTTAAATCCATGATATATCATAAAATGCTACTAATTGAATTCATATCGTATGATTACATCGGAAGACACTCATCTAAAGGAATAAGCTTTGTTATGAAATTCGCTAAAGATGCTATATAATCGTATCTTTCATGATGTCAAACGTGAATATTGAGATGTAAAAATAAGCAGTGACAGAGATGAAATGATCATAACATAATTATACACCATTCCATAAAGTTAGAATATATTTATTATATTAAAAAGATCGTATAGACACATTTAAAAATGAAAAATACCACAATTGTGAAGTGTTCGATACACGTATTCTATTGCGACATAACTAGCAAAGTTGATAGCCTCATGCTACTAATAAGTATATAAAAATAGTTTATAATTGACAAAACTCCAAAATATTCTTAACTCAAGGCAATGACAAAAACTTACGTCTGCTCTACTTCGTAAGGTACTCCTCTTTGGTCGTAGCATCACATCCTTAAAATCCAACTTTATGTCGTTTACTATGTTCGGCATCTTTGCAGACGATTCTTTCCAGGCCTTATAAACTTTCTAGCAGACGACTTGTACAAATTTCCGTCATAGATTCAGGAATACTGAGGCTTTGAACTGACGAGCCGATATTAAATGTAGTTGCCAAGGTTCACCTCTAGTATAGACTCAATTGGTGCTATAGGAGCTCCACATACATACAATAAATTCGATGGTTTCCTCTACAGTATGCTTATGTAACGCCATCTTGCTTTCTAGAACGGAACAACAATGAACATTCACAGGGTACACTCTCATCGATTCCTTACTGAGCGATACTGAAATCAATACTTTTTCGGTTTCTTTAAATTTGTGAGAGTATTGAATCGAAGTACAGCACGTTTATATGATATGACATTGAAATACTCCGTGCATGTAGCGTTCTTTGAAGAATGCTAAAAAATTGTAGCTCTCTTGACAAGGATATTTGTGACCCTTTACAGCTCCTATCACTTTGCGTTTCATAAATCAATGCTGTATGCGAGACGCACAAGAGACGCGTAAGGTTCAAATACAGTAATTTGCGTAGTCATAATACGTATCCCAATTACATTGTTGGCAATGATGCGGTATAACCAGTAACGTGCTGCCTGTTCGGAAGGCACGTAATTGTTTAGGTTTTGCAGTAATAAAGTCTTTTAATAAAGCGTGATGTACATAAATATGATTTAAAAAAATCCTATATGCCTAATCTGAAATGGCGTTTTTTATTTAGAAAAATGTACAAATTTACTGTCGGAAATTATTTATTTGCGCATTTTTCGGTGCATATTTTTATCATACGACGCTATGGTTCTTAATACATAATTCGCTTTTCTTGCCTCAAAGTGCTTGAACTTTTTAGAATAGCAGTAAATTCAATTCAAGATAATAAATTCGTAAAGTATGTTGACACATAGAATACCGTATATTCTTATATTGGTAAAGATTTATTTCATGCTCCTCGTATCTGTTACGTCGATCTATGTGTTAAATGCGGAAAATCAAATACATTTGTCTGAACAGGTTTTCACTAACTATTCTGTATCAAGAGACAAGACTTAATATTTAGAATTCGCGTCTGTTAGAAGCTATGAAGACAAATTTTAACTCCATAAAATATTTATATATTTATATATAAAGCTGCGAGATTAGGGAAATAATTGCATTAAACGAATCCTGACGAACTCATTTATTTTAAGCTAAATCGTTTTGCAATAAGTTTCCTAAAATCACGAGAATTACAAAAATTGAAGACATCTGAGGACTGTTTCTGATAATCTATTCAAAGGAATGGAATATTAAATGCTTTGTATCTTGAAATTAATTCACATATTGAAAAGATCTCACATATATGTTTAAGATTGAAGTTGACCACAATCAGCAATTATAATTTTCTTAGTCGTCTTTCCGCTCTGAGAACCAAAACCTTCTAGCTTTTTCACAACATCCATACCCTCGATAACAGAACCAAAAACAACGTGCTTGTCGTCAAGCCAAGATGTTTTGACGGTGGTAATGAAAAATTGGGAACCGTTGGTGTCTGGGCCAGCATTTGCCATGGAGAGAATTCCAGCACCAGTGTGCTTCAGGATAAAGTTCTCATCCTCGAACTTGGTTCCATAGATCGATTTTCCACCAGTCCCATTGTGGTTGGTGAAGTCACCACCTTGACACATAAAGTTCGGAATGACACGATGGAAAGAGCTACCCTTGTAGCCAAAACCTCTTTCTCCCGTACACAGAGCACGGAAGTTCTCTGCAGTTTTGGGAACTACATCGGACCGTAGTTCAATGATAATACGTCCTACAGGCTGACCATCTGCTATCATGTCAAAGAATACTCGTGGGAGACCCATTTCTGATTCAATGGATGTCACTCTGAAAACAAAAATATCAAATGTTATCTAATGTTTAATTAATTTTAGGAGATAAAGTTATATACATTATTTCATTTCATATTTGTTTTCATTTTAAATCACATTAGCTCGAAAGGTAGAATGAAATATATAATTTTATATTTTCATGCTTTTATATTATCTATACATTTTTATTGGTAATACTGTGGATAACTCTTGATATTTATTAACTCAGAACTTATATGCAAAAAGTATATGCAAGAAAGTATAGATTGATGTGACATATGTACAATGTCCAAACAACATCAGAAATACGTAATCAAATCATGAAACAAATGGAGAAAACATTTTAATCCTACTAATATCACAAGTTTCATTCCACAGCTATTTCACACCAGAATATTACTAGGAATATTAAACTGTGAAAAACTGACAATTAATACAATACAATCTAAACAGCCTTCTTAAAGTTTGCCTATTACTGTTATATTAACTGTTTAGTATATCAAGATTGCATGTCCTTATTTTTACTTTATTTCATCAAAACAAGAAGTGTAATATTTTACATTAGCATAAGAAGTACAGTTGCTATCTATAAATCTTTAAATTACTTTTTCAATTATGCAGGTGACATTGAGAATTACTTAAATTAACCAATTCTCCCACACAATATTTGAAAGCAAATGATTCCTTGTTCAAAACGTTCCATAACGTTCTAAAATATTCTCTCAGGTATTATCAAAGGTTCACCAGTAATTAGGCCAAAGTCCGGATAAAATTAGTACAATCAATGAAATGGCGGATCGTGCTCAAAGAAATAATCTTAAGTCAACTTGACGTGTTGTAAAACTTATAATTTTGTCCAAGGGTCAGAATAAATTGGTAGATAGATGCACGTATTTGTGTGGGATATACAGTCTCTGTCGACATGAGGTGTGTCCTTATTCGCAGTAGAAACCGGCGCATCAACGGAAAAAAAGAAAATGAGTAATGCTGCTCCGCCATTACTGACCCATTAGCCTTGAATATCTACTTTGGTCTCGAAATATCTCAACCTTGTCACTTGGTTGATTTATATGCAAACTCGAAAAGTCAAATTGATTTTGCATCGATATACGCGGAAGCCAATGGAAAGTTTGAAGCCGGTATTTCGTATTTCTTACCTTACGACAAGTACGACGTACACTCACCGGTGGCTAATTGTAGAGTGATAGAACTGGAACTTCCTCTCGAATGTAATCCTACAGATTATTGGGCAGCATTGTAGCAAAACCGGTAGGCAGGTGCGGTCGTAAAACTGATGAAAATCGTTCCGTTTTAGCTTTCGTAAGTCTCAGTAGTGTTATTTGCACGCACTTGTGTTTATTGAAAACTTTCAGACGGTAAAATATATTTTTTTATGTATCTGCGTATAGATTCTCATGAAATGTACTAAGGATTTTTTTGATTTTGATAATTGTTATGGACACTTAATATTTTTGCATATACAATTCATTGTCATGTAAATGATTCTACAGCAAACACGTAGTTATTAATCTTAATTGACATCTTAATCTTTATTTACAACAGATTATCATAGTTTATTATACATTAATAATAGTTTAGATAAGTTCAAATAAATTTTCGAGGTTATCGTTCTATATCGAAATATGTTTCACGCTCTTCAAGATACGATTAGTGTTGATTTCCACTTATATCTGTAATGAAATCTCTATTCATAATACCTCTTTTTCAAAGTTCTGTATTTTCGAAGCATATATAAAGCTTCCAATTCCTTTATAACAAAGTTTCCATGGGCGATCAATTTTTCTATTTTTTCGGGATCAGTTTCATTTTTATTTTTCATGAATGCTTTTTTCAAATTAGTTCGAAAATAATCATAACCTTTTGGATATTCTTTCCCCAAATGTAAAAGCTGTGAACAATTTAAATATATTTATTTAATATAGTCATGCGAAAGTTTATTTAAATTATTGATACCAGATGATAATATGCGTTGAATAATTGTCATCATACAACAATATAAGCAATATATTTGTAATTTTTATATAAAATCAGAATAAAACCATTTCTGGTATTAATAATTTTATACGTACCATTTTGTATAGTTCAATAACTTTAGTTTTCTGTGACATTACGGCTGTTAGGCTAGAATAAGATACGGTCGGAACTTGTTGAGAGTGATACGTAGTGATACGTAAATGAACCTAATCGTTATTTGTGTTCGATAATAATGTTATACTGAGTTCTCATGTAGCCTCTTTACTGCTCTTTACCACTGTTAACCAGTTGGCAGCAACATTGAGTAATGTATTGCAGGCTCTATATTTACCACATCGACGAAAATTGAATAATGACTGATAAATGTATGTTTCAAAAAAAAAGTTAACGCTTCTCCACTACTCCAGAAAATCTGTGCAGATGAAGTGCAATGACAATAAAATCGTCTGTTTTATTTTTGGATGAAAATGGTTTCACCGTTTTATTTCGGAACTCAGATGACTAAAGAATATAAAACTGCGATGGCCGTGGGGGTAAATTACATTACAATTGGGTAAGATAACATCTTTTCCTTTTTCACAGTTTTCTACTTTGTAATAAAAACATTTTTAGTCTTGATAGAGGGCATGTCGCGTTTAGGAGATTATGATATGGTATTTCTTTTCTATGATAAAAAAGTCGGCATGTCTCGTAATGTTTCGCTTATTTGTCGCCATTCATTTTTATCGGCATCCCGGCAGATTGTTCCCGCAATATGAGATTTTTGGTATTTATATTAAGTACACCGCTCATTTTTTTTTGTTGCGTGATTTTTAAATTACAGATACTGGTAGATCCTTTATACCTCAGTTTAAATAATGACCGTATTCTTATCGTGTTTCACCTGTTTTTTGAAGTATTTGAAAATGGATCATTATCATGCGTTTTTAAAACTTATAATCTAAATTTGTTATTTTTAAATTTGTATCTTTTATATTAAAAGTCATGATTTTATCAAAGTATATAGGAAGTATAATTAATTCAAGTCTATTATACAATTGCAATTGGCATAATGTTCACAAAATAATTTTATCCCATTTAATTATCAGTTTCAAAGTAGGAAAAATATATTACCTAATAAAATTGGAATATGAAAAATGTATTATTTTTAATAAATTTATTAAATATTTGTTATATATTTTACATCAATATATATAGTGTCATACCAAGTAATTTTTCATATATTTATATAATATTTTTACTTATCCAGTTCTATTCTTTTCCTGCATGCTGTTTTATGTTTGTGTCTGTGTAAGTTGTATTAGGATTTGACCGTTGACCATTGACATTAATCATGGAGGAAGATGATGATGAAGTATCATTGACACAGCGTTATAGACGTAGTGTCTCTCAGCCAAGCATTTATCGGTCAACACAGGATAGCTTAAATCGATGCTCACAGCAAACATCCTACCAGAGTATTCATGAGACACTTTACGATGATACCATGAGTATGGCCAGCTTGAACAGCACTGCCTCTGCCAAAAGTGTTCTTACTGCTAATAGTAGAGAATCATTGACTCTTCAAGATGGTGATCGTACAATCATTGAAGGAAGTTGTGAAGAGTTAAGACCTGATGTAACTGGGCGAGGATCAAGAATGGTGAGAATAAATTTCTTAGTAACTTGTGATTTTCTAGCTTCAAAGTTTTTTGACTTTAGAAGGGTTGAATTACATTTGTTATTGCAAAAACAAAATTTATTACTAAACTCGTGTATTTTAAAAGACGTTCAGTTCGAGTATTATTACTGTTTACATAATGATGTAACAGGTACCGTGATATGTAAGATATCATGTATCACTTTTCAGGTGCTTGACGTAATTACTTAAGATTTAATTAGCATACTCCAAGATTGTGAAAATATGTGTTAATACAAACCTTAGTTAGTATGAGTCATTTATACAAATGTTTTCAAGCAAAGTAACAGACCATGCATGCAATATTTTGCTCTGGATATCTAAAAAGTGTTAATTTCCATACAAATGGTTTATAATTCACAGACTTCTCATTACGGAACAGCATCAAGTTTATATTTTCGTGATGAAATTCGGTCCATTGATTTTGTTCTCGTTTGGGATGAGCATGATGCCGAAGCTTTGACATACAGAAGTATAGAACTCCGAAGAGTACGCCCTATTATTTATATTTTATGTAGTAAGCAAAAGGAATTATTTACTACTAATATCTAATATATAACTTTGCAGGTGTTTGAAAAAAATTTGGAAAAGGAGGGCTTAGAATTAGAATATGAACGTCCAGAACCTAACGGTTTGCGTTTCATAAAAATTCATGCACCACGTGAAGTTCTGCGTCGTTATTCTGAAATATTAAAATTGCGTATGCCAATGAAAGAAATACCGAGACTCAGGATTCAACAAAATCAAAGTAATCTTATATTGAAGGAAGTGAACTCTTTATTTCGTAGAATCATGAAAAACTATTATGTTGACACAACTATATTTCCAACGATGAAGCATCGATTTACGGCTGTCTATAGCCGTGACAAAGAATATTTATTTGATCTGGATATACCTGAATTTTTCTCACCGGCGACTCATTCAAGAATTGTACAATTTATTCTTGATAGAACAAGATTCACTGACGATAAGGAAGATGATTTTGCATTTGGTATTGATCGATTAATTACGGAACGAGCATACGTAGCGGCGTACCCACTTCACGATGTAAGGATCTTCTATCATACATTAATTGCGTGTATGTTGTTCATAATAATATGCTGCTATTGAAATGCACTATCTTTATTGAGAGTCATTCTTTTTCAGGGCAATCTTCATTCTCCAGATTCAATGCGCTACCTTTTATATAAAGAATGGGCTAGTGTCAAGAAATGCTTCCATTATCAACCATTGGATTACATCAAGGAATATTTTGGAGTAAAGATAGGTCTTTACTTTGCTTGGCTTGGGTTTTATACACACATGTTAGTTCCTGCTAGCATAGTTGGACTTCTTTGCTTTATATATAGCTGCCTTACCTTATACTCCAATAAACCCAGCGAAGATATTTGCAATGGGAATACATCAATAGAAATGTGTCCACTGTGTGATCATTTTTGTGGATATTGGAATCTTAAGGAAACCTGTCTTCATGCTAGAGTGACTTATTTATTTGATAATCCATCTACTGTATTTTTCTCCATATTTATGTCACTTTGGGGTAAGTGTACAAGGCTGAAAAGTATACTGTCATACGCATGTAATTGAATGAATTACTGTTAAAGGATTTTATGGAAGTTATATTAAAATTTTTATATTCAGCTACGTTATTCTTAGAATTATGGAAAAGTTATTCTGCTGAAATAACGCATCGTTGGGATTTAACTGGCTTGGATGCACAGGAGGAACATCCCAGGCCGCAGTACTTGGCTCGATTGGCACATGTTAAAAAAAAGTCAGTTAATGTAATTACAAATACTGTGGAGCCTCATGTTCCATTTTGGAAAATGCGAGTACCAGCAACTATTCTTAGCTTTTCTGTTGTTCTATTATTGGTGAGGTATATTAATTTAACGATTTGCAAATCAAAAGGAATTAAAAGGAATTAAAATTGCTTATTTTCTCTGAATAACAAATAGATCATCGTAGCAATGGCGGCTGTGTTAGGTGTTGTTTTATATAGGATGTCCATCCTAACAGCACTTAGTTTCTATGGAAATCCCATGATAACAAGTAATGCGATACTATTCACTACCGCAACAGCCGCTTGTATCAATTTATGCTGTATCGTAGTATTTAATTTGATCTATGTGCGTTTAGCAGAGTATTTAACCGAGGTAATTTATAATTTATAATTCAATTAATTGCAATTGTAATAATTTATTTCCTAACAATTTGTTTAATTTCGATTTTATTATTTTACAGATTGAACTTTTACGCACTCAAACAGAGTTTGACGATAGTTTAACATTAAAAATATATTTATTACAATTTGTAAATTACTATGCTTCGATATTTTATATAGCATTTTTCAAAGGAAAGTTCATTGGATATCCCGGAAAGTACATTAGATTCTTTGAATTTCGTCAAGAAGAATGCGGCCCTGGTGGATGCTTAATGGAGCTGTGCATTCAATTAAGCATAATTATGACTGGAAAACAAGTGATGAATACTATTTCCGAAATGCTTTTTCCACTGTTTTTCAAGTGGTTGAATACAATAAAGGTGCATGTTGGCACAAGTAAAACTAAAAATAGCGATACCAAACGACACTCTAGTTCTAGAATGTATCTTCAGTGGGTTAGAGATTATAAACTCGTACAGTGGGGTCCTAGAAGCTTATTTCCAGAATACTTAGAAATGAGTAAGTCATTATTAATATTATTAATTTAAAATTTATCTTTACTAAATTATATTTTAATTAACACTACTTTATTTCGCTATAGTACTACAATACGGATTTGTTACCATCTTCGTAGCTGCCTTTCCCCTGGCTCCTTTTTTTGCATTGTTAAACAATATTTTGGAGATGCGATTAGATGCCAAAAAATTATTAACTATGTATAGAAGGCCTGTTGGACAACGTGTTAGGGATATAGGAATATGGTACAAAATTCTCGATTCAATTTCGAAATTGTCTGTAATAACTAACGTAAGTATTCCTAATACAATTAGGTTTGCAACTCATTGCTGTATGATATATGTTAATCGGTTCTATTAACTATTTTAGGCTTTCATCATTGCTTTTACTTCTAATTTCATTCCACGTTTAGTCTATTTGATGACAGTATCGGACAATTACTCTCTGGATGGATTTCTGGAACATTCTCTTTCTAAATTTAATACTACTGATTTGAAAAACGATACTAAGCCAATGATAATGGCTGGTGAAAAATCAATTGAAATATGTCGATATCCTGATTACAGAGAACCACCTGACTCACCAAACAAATATAATCATACGATTATGCATTGGCATGTGTTAGCTGCACGATTAGCTTTTGTTGTTGTATTTGAGGTAGGTATAATGCAATTTCATCTTTTATCAACGACGTAACCATATAACATTAAATACGTGATTTAACATTGTATTTCGCAGAATATCGTTGCTTTGGTTAAGATTTTTTTACGATGGTGCATTCCTGATATGAATTCGAACCTTCGTGATCAGATACGTCGGGAAGCATATATCACTAACGAAATTATTATACAACAAGAAACGATGCGTGCTGGCAGATGTTCGAATGAGAATACAGAAGTAAATCCAACGGAAAATTCAAATCAGGAAAATGCACTACGATGGAATCAAATTCTACGAAACTCTTTATCGAATTCTGAGTTTGATTTAGAGGTGCACGGTACTCCTGTGTCTCCGCCTCTTGTACAGCCTAGAACGGGTCCTGCGGCACTCTAAATCTTTTTTTTATGTATTTACAAATTATTATTCAAATAGGTGCTACGAATAATCCGCAAATCGCATTAAGCTTTTTGACGAATGCTATTATAAGAACGAAACAATAATCAGGCTATAATATATTGGATCTTCCTAATTATATAATATACAATTTATCCTATGATTAATTTGTAAGTCTAGCGACATTACGCAGATATTGAGAGTAGTTTATGGAGAGTTTATTCATTGATATTTATGAAAACTAATCAAGTATATATAATATGAAGCTTCAGAGTTTTATGAAAACCAATATATGCTAGTCAAAAAATGAATTACCTAAATATTGTAGTGTATAAGCAAGTAAGATACACCCTTCTGGTTTCAGTCACACGATATCAATTCGTAAAATTACGAATCATTACGCTTCTCGAATAATATATTTTTTACACAGAGAATCATTTTTATTTGTTATATTCCAATAATTGTAGCCGATGGTATTTTCTTAATTGCTCAGTTTACACAGATTTCAAATTGTTCTGGAGTAATTGTGTACTTAGGCTTAAAGCGAGAGCACGTCGGTTACATAATTATGTATACTTTATGTAGCATGAAAACTTAATTTCATTGATCGTTTATTTAATTATTATCATTGTGTAGTTTAAGCTCACAGCAAATATCTTGTTATCGAATGAATCTTATTATGTGGTGCTTAGATAAAGATCTATGTGCTAAAAGTAATATAGCACAAATATAGAAATATAGCATATGGTAATCAATTTCCTTTATTTATCACGCGAATCTCTACATTTTTCATCTTCCGTACTGGATTGTCAAACAAGACGATTAATTATGTTTTAATATACATGACCGAATTCTCAAAAGGACTTATATTTCTATTAGTTCTTAAAATAGAGCACTCAATCTATTCAATATATTAAGAGAGACTTATGAACTATTTTGTAAAATCATTGGATTTTTATATAATACGTAAATATTAATATATTTGTATATGAGATTTTAATTCTATTATATTTAATAAATTTACAATGCTTTTAAAGCAAGTTACTGTTTAAAGTGGTAAATTTATCGGAGCACAGATACCGTGTAGGAACCGAATTTAGGGGAATACTTAAAAGTGTCCCGTCTCTTATACATATTGATTGCTTGCATGCTCCCGTATTATCTATTTCTTGGCTTGCTTTTACTATATTTATTATTTCTTTGTTTCTTTATGTATGTGCTTCCATACTCCTATTCCTTATTTTCCTACTTCCTTCTTTCTATCTATCTTTCACCTGCTTTCACTCTGTTTCCTCTCACTTTCCATTTTGCTTGCCTCTTAGTTATCTCTTTTTTTTGCCAGACTCAGCATATTTATTCGAGTAGTCATTTATTTCCTATTTATATCGATTCCTCTTATACATCCTAGATATTTTTTCCTAGAGCCGCTAACTAAAACCCGTTTTCTTTAACGCGGTTCAATGCAACTCCGTTTATGTGCAAAATGCAAGTATCTGGCTAATAGCACAGTTAAGCTGAGTTTATGCATTGATCCGCTTTGAAGAAAACTAGTGTTAGTGGCGTAACGGTAACCATTATGGAGAAAATAAGATGTTCAAATTATAAAATGAGGATGCCATGTTACAATAGATGCACTGATTTATAAAGGTCAATTTTAAATTATTGAATTTCACAAAAAAATAAGATTATTGTTTTAAATTGAAGCAGCACATCTAAAGCCAAGATTTCCAGCTGAACTGTCTGGTGTGTTTTGGCTACGTGCTGCGCACCTGTATCTATAACAATAAGTTTCGTGACAGAGATAAGAACCTCCCTTTTTTACTTTCTCAGTTCCACTTGGTGGTCCAACCTAAGAAAGAAATAGTATGATTTAAAGATTTCGACAAAAGATACTTCATATGGTGATTTACAGTTATATCTATTACAAGTATATTATATTAGGAAACTTATTTTTTTGTGAAAAATGAAGCCAGAAGAAAAAAAAGGAGAACTTGTTATAATTACAAATTTGTCATTATATACATACAGGATCTATCTGAATTTCATCTGAATGTTTTGTTATCCACCAATCTGATGTCCATTCCCATACATTTCCTACAATATTGTGGACACCATATACATTTGGTAGAAAATCTGTTACTGGACTCGTTCCATAGTATCCATCTTCCTCTGTGTTATTAATTGGAAATTGTCCTTGCCAGATATTTACTCTGAAAATTAAAATTATTATACATTTCTTAAAATTATAAAATATATATAATTACATACAATTAAATAAGTTTGTTATGTATAATAAAATTATTAATGTTTTTGAGCTTGTTATTTCTGTATAATACCTGTGTTTATTATTAGGTGTCAATTTGTTCCCCCAAGGAAAGAGTCTGTCAGATAGACCACCTCTGCATGTAACTTCGTATTCAGCTTCTGTTGGTAATCTTTTGCCCAACCAATTACAATATGCGGTTGCATCATTCCATGAAACATGGACAACTGGATGGTCCATTCTGCCTGCAGGATACCCATAATTTTTAATAATCAATTAATATCTCATTATAATAAAAACTAGTAAAAAGAAAACAGAAATACATTTGACATATAAATCAAAGAACAAAAAATATATAAAAGTTTTTGTTACATATTAACTATGCTTCTTGAATTTAATCATATAATAAGTACATAAATTAAGTTGGTTACATCAAGAGTTTTTACCAGAGATATTAGAACTTGGTCCCTCTGGATGACGCCACGAAGCATGTTTTACTGGTAACCACCATGGAGCCTGTGCAACTGCTTCTTTTATATCAGCTTTAGTCTCTTCACTTAATAGCCCTTCAAAAACAAAGGAATCTCCAAATTTCTCAGCTTCTGTTTTGTAACCAGTAGAACTTACAAATGTAGCAAACTCTTGATTACTAACTTCATACTTGTCGATAAGGAAACTTTTTAAAACTACTGTTCGTTTAGGTCCCTCACCATCAGCTATAAATATTGGCTCGTTTGTTCCTATTGAGTAGGAACCAGATTTTATTAAAACCATTTCATCTTGAGAATTATCAGGAGCCTGCTCTAATTTACTTAAAGAACACTTTTGACTATCATCAAGAGAACAAAATCCATTCTGTTCATTATTGCCACTCTGCCTATTTAAATTTTTTCCACAAGAACATTGTTTTTCATTGTGTTCCCCAAAAGTCAAAGAACAACCAATGATTATTAAAAAAATAAATGAACATCTATTGGCGAAGCAGCTGAACAGATCCATGATAAAGCTTGAAAACTTTTATGCTGAGTAACATAAATGAGCATATGTATCAGCTTATTGTATTTACAGTGATGTGTTTATAATTAATTAGCCAATGGAACAAACTCTAACTGGCAGGTTAAATATTTAAAGCAGGTACATACTTATTCTGCAAAAATTGACTATGTTCTATTTACGATATTAACCAATCATCTGCAACATGAGAGAAGAGTACACGAACATGATTGGTTAATCCTACTTAAATCCTGAAGCTAGAATCGTAGTCATTATTATTTATACGATAATGTACCATAGAAGAATAAGAATAGTAATTTATTTTTTATATTATTACGGTATTTAAATAATATTATTGTATACCCAACAAAAAACTTTCGTTTGTAATGAACAAATAGCTAAAAGTTTATACATTGATGATATATGTATAGCATTAAAAATAGTATAAAAGCTCGAAAGAAGTTGTGATTAGAAGAGCATTCTTCTTAATTTTGTTTAGCAATTGCTTTCAGAGTATTCTATCTTTTGAAAACAATTGGAAATTGGCATGATGATTGTGTCTATTCATCAATAATCCACTCTAAGTTAGTTATGACTTAAAATTTTTGTAATATTTTTTTATTCTATCCAATAATTGGAGCCCCAACTGAAAAATCTAGAAATATATAAAGTCCTAGAGATGACGAATTCAGTTTTTCAGATCAGATAAGTTTTCAATTTATACATAGAATGTTCTCTGATTCAATAAGAACACCTGATACATTGAATGTGTTCAGTCGATATAGCAATGAGAAAACAAATATGAGGCGATCCATGTTACTTCAGCCAGTAAAAAGAAATTCCAGAAATAATTTTGAAAGATTGAGTTACTTTATTGATAATTATTCACCAAGGGTCGAAATTAAAAAAAAATTTTTTGACTTTTTTTCTCGTTGATTACCATTTTTTAACATTTTTCCATTCAAATAGCTGTATCTTTGGCAGGATTTGACGTATTTACATTTGTAAAATACGAAAATGTACGTCTTTTTATGGCCTTCCAGAAAAAAAATTAATTTAGATTTTATTGAGCAAGTTGAACGTCCGTTTCAGGCCAAAATATACAAAAATATTTTTTTTCTCAAAGAAAGACACTCGTCATTTTATTTTTAAAAATTTCCGCAAATTGTGAATACGAAAAACGAATTTTTGGTATTTTTGCTTCCTCATAGAGGAAGCTATGTGACGGTGGAAAATTGTGCTGTCGAGACTTTCATGTCACCATGTTCAGAATGTGCTAAAACGTCGAGAAAACACGTTTGGAGAAAATGTCCGGATGTATGTGTGTGTGTGTGTAATGGTCTCCCAAAATTCAAACGTGTATAACTCGAGAATGAATTTAGCTACAGCCCCCCAATTTTGCAGGCATATGCAGCTCTATGTATAATCCCTTCATTGACTATAATTTTCGTCACGATTCATGCTGCGGCTTGGATTTTATGTCGTTTTTAAATTCCCAAAAAAAGGACGTTATCACTCTAGCGATCGCAAATTTTGTGATAATCGTCTAAGTAGTTCTTGAAACAGAGATTTGTATCCAAGGTTGGTTGGTATTGCATTTGGGCCGAATCCATCGAGAAGTTTTGATTTTATGATATTTTGATTTTTTCGAAAAATTAAATTTATCAATATAATTCCCGTCAACTTTGACCGATTGAGCTCCAATTTTCGAAAAGTATAGAGTATCATTTAGCTGTGATATGTCTCAAATTTGGCGGAGATCGGTAAAACGGATCTGATTATACGTATATTCAAGTTTTTGAATTTCAGCCAATTCAAAAGTATTAGGCCCGAAGAGATCATGCAAGAGATTTATCCTTACATGCGTTCTCTACAGTATGAAGCACCCCAAGTTGTGAAAGGCATGGGGACTCACGTTAAACAAGCTGCAAGTTGAAACTTGCAATTTACTTCCTCCGAATCGTAAGTAGTGTATGAAGTCCTTATATGAGGAAGCATTTTTATTTTTTTTTAATCTTTGGCTTCCTCATACATGAATCTTCATCTACTACCCACGATTCAAAGGAAGCAAATTGCACAATTAAAATTCTTGACTTCCTCATATAGGGACTTCGTACGCTATTTACGATTCGGAGGAAGCAAATTGCAAGTTTCAACGTGCAGCTTTTTATATTATGGGATTCCTAAACACCGTGAAGTAACAGCTATTTTTATTTATTAATATTTTATTAATATATACATGTATTTTAAAAACCTGGTAAACATACAGAGAGTGCTCCACACTCTTCAATCTATAATATATTAATAAAATATTAATAAAAAAAAATAGCTGTTACTTTACGATGTTTAGGAATCCAATAATATAAAAAATACCAAAAATTCGTTTTTCGTATTCACAATTCGCGGAAATTTTTAAAAATAAAATAAGGAGTGTCTTTCCTTGAGAGAAAAAACATTTTTGCATATTTTGCCTTGAAACGGACGTTCGACTTGCTCAATAAAATCTAAATTAATTTTTTTCTGGAAGGCCATAAAAAGACGCACATTTTCATTTTTTACATTTTTTACAAATGTAAATACGTCGAATCCTACCAAAGATACAGCCATTTGAATGGAAAAATGTTAAAAAATGGTAACCAACGAGAAAAAACGTCAGAATTTTTTTTTTTAATTTCGACCCTCGGTGAATATTTTTCAATAAAGTAACTCGATTTCTCAAAATTATTTGTGGAATTTTTTTTTTTACTGGCTGAAGTAACATGGATCGCTTCATATATGTATTTGACACGCCATTTGATAGTTAATCTTGTAACAATTGTAAGATTTAATCAATCAAATCTATTTGCTTCCCAGCGCTGTATCGGCTGAACATGTTTATTTATATTTTCACAACGTTTACACGGCGGTATTATTCCGATTTTGTTAATACTGGTCTAAAGTAATTTAACAATCCCAAATATTCCTTACAAATAGAAATATCTGTGATTTGTTAATTCCCTTAGATCAGTACTAATTAAACCGGAATAAGATTATCGTGTAAAACGTAGTCATCCATTCAAAAAAGTAAACGTAATCTAACACTACTGGCAGTGAACTGAAACATGCCACGCGCACGAGTATGATCACTTACGAGTAACACTGTCAGACACATTGAGACACGTGTCGTTGACAGAGCAACGTTGTTCTGTTGCTCCTAACCTCAATATTAAACATATGTCAACGTATAGCCACTTCGAATTAGCAATTATTTAACAATGGTTCATAAAAGCACCAGAATAAAACTTTTGATTTGCGCAGGTGGTATTTTTATTTGTTACTTTTATTTTGGTGTCCTCCAAGAGAAGATTACTAGAGGTAGTTATGGAGAGGATGGAAATAAGGAAAAATTTACCTATGTGTTCGCATTGGTTTTCGTGCAGTGTCTTGTTAATTATGCTTTTGCGAAAATAATATTGCTGACAGTGATGAAACAAGGTGAAGACAATACACGGACACTCTATTATGCCACTTCTTCGCTAACATATTTACTTGGCATGGTGTCCAGTAATATGGCATTACAATTTGTGAGCTATCCCACGCAAGTGGTGGGTAAAGCTGGCAAACCAATTCCTGTAATGATTCTTGGAGTATTACTTGGAAAGAAGGTATTTTTATATATTATACATAACGATATATGAAAAATGTAATTTGTTTCCTATAGCATAATATCAAACATTGATCGTTTCTATAAGACATTCAATTATCTGGTAGAAATGGTTTCTATACTTGAGAACAATTTGTTTCTGTGATAAACATAGTATGACTTGATCTAAGAAAAGTACATAGGAATACAGATAAAAATAATTTTATGAAAAATAAGATTGAAATTGTAATTTCATACATTATACTCTTAACGTTCTTTGTTTTATTGCAGGTGTATCCAATGAGGAAATATCTATTTGTGCTTCTAATTGTTATTGGAGTAGCTTTGTTTATTTATAAAGATCACAAAGGAAATACAGTACAAACTGATGCGCAAATGGGTTTTGGAGAACTTTTATTGTTTTTGTCACTTATAATGGACGGGCTGACTGGTGCAGTACAGGAAAGAATGAGGGATGAACACAAATCTCAGTCTGGACACATGATGCTAAATATGAACTTTTGGTCAGTTATATTCAGTGGTACAGTGATCATCATATCTGGAGAACTGTTTGAATTCATTAGGTTTTTACAAAGACATCCAAATGCAGTTTGGCATTTGATATCATTCTCTGCAGCTGGAGCTCTTGGTCAATTTTTTATATTTTTGACTGTCGCAGAATTTGGTCCTTTAACATGTTCTGTTATGACAACCACTAGGAAGTTTTTTACAGTTCTTGGATCTGTCTTGTTATTTGGTAATAATTTATTACCAAGACAATGGATAGCAACTGTTATTGTATTTTCTGGACTATTTTTGGATGCCATGTACGGCAAAACGAAAATGGTTATAAAAGAGACACTAAAATAAATAAATAAAATATTCCACATATTGATCTAGTCATTATTCATTATTTATATACATGCATTTTGAAAAGTGTGAGGTTACTGTTAAATTAGTAACCAAAAGCATGTCATTACAAGTACATCTTCAGCACTTAAATGTATTTCCATTTTCTAATATGCATGCAAAGGGACAAGTCTTATGTAAATAAATTAATTAGTATGCAAATATGGAAAATGGTAAACTTCCAACGACAAACGTACAAGAAACAAATGACGCTGCATCAGGAGCAATAAATTTAACTCTTAATGCAGATTGTAATAAGTGGAAATTAAATAAATTTGTAATATATAAGTAATGAAAACTATATGTGTTGATTTATTTCTCATGTCCGCGTGTTTTGTAAATGGAGCTCAAATATTCACATTGGGATTGTCATCGAACAGAATTGTGAAAGAAGAGTGAATATAGTATAGGGCGGATGGTCCAATCATCGGCCATGTGCCAGTAATCGTCAATGTGTGCTTTGACTATAGCAAAATCTACTGGCCCATCCACCTTATAATGTAAGAAAAATTATCGGGACTAACAGATTTGCCTTGAGATACAATTGGTTGATCATACGTTCTTATCTTATATCTTACGGAACAGTCAAACTGGAAGTGCATAACATTAGCAAATACTGGGATCGACAAGCTCATGATTTTTACTGTAACTTTCAACACGACTAGTTAAGTGGTTCACCCAAGCATTTCAAAACACATAAGATACGAAGATTTTGAATTTCGTACATACACCGTTTTGAAACCGGATGTGCTAAAAATCTGGAAATGTTCCTGTGCCATTAACATTCGGAACTTGATGTCCTCTATAAATTTTAGAACGATTAGGGTGACCGCTTTATTGGACTTTTCTCCATAACATTTTTTGTGCATTCGTTCGTGTTTGATTAAAATGTATTTGTTGTCTCTTTGTATTTTCGATAATTATACTCATAAATTATGTACATTGAAGTACCGAATCATAAAATGGATATTCTTATTGGCGACGTGTTATTATACCAATAAATATGTACACTTTTATACGACAAGGTTGTTGTGAAATTGTATAGTATTCAAACAAAATATGATCATGGAAGTCAAGACGGTCGCATGTAATTAAGGGAGAATGGAACAGGCTGTTTGCATGAGTGAGGTGTCATACAAACGAGGTTCAAAGCGGGGAATCTTCACACCGAAAAATTATTGTTGAGATTCAGTTATATTTTTTATATTTCCTTAAGGTTATCAAAGTAACTTTTAACCTAACAATGCATACATCCATAATGTATATAAATATGATTGCAAAATATTTTACCTAATTGAAACTATAATTTTCCTTGAATGTACTGTTATGCCGTGAGGATGTTATAAAATAATCTTCAACACTTTTAATAATACTAAAATAGCAAAAGCAAACTATTTTTTATTGTATCTCTGTTTCGTTAACAATGGCACAATTTTATTCTATCTTCCTTTCTATGAGTGGACGATGCTCACTCGGAGCCTACAGTTCGACAACTGGCTCTTTGTTGCGTCTAAATAATGAAGAGCTTCTACGCCTTAGTACAATCTTTGCTGACAAAGGGTTACTTATCGTGTGGTACTAAGAATGCTAACCTAGTAAATAATTAAGTAACTCTTAGGTGCATAACAGTACATACTCGAAAAGTCATTCATAATGTCAACCTATTTTATACGTATATTATAAATACTATTTATACATCAGTGACGATCAATTCTGCTATAAATTATGTACGGATGGTCAGTCATCTTAGGCGCAACATAAATTTCCAATATTCTTTTGTAATCGCCTCATGCTTTAATTTGTAAAAAATCCAAGTCCAAATAACAAAATCCCACAAAGGTACTATCGTAACTGCCCCAATTGTTTGCTATTTGGTGACTGCGAACATTCTTTACGCACATTGTTTATAAACTTATTTTAGTTCAGTTGATAACCAAATTAAGAGTTTCTAAATCCATAAAAATCAAAATATACATTTTCATCCGTTAAAATGGCATGAGTTTGCTTTAATCTGTATAATTCATTCGGTTTCATAATCGTAAATGTTTTAACTATACACTCATTCGTTGTAGGTTTTATGTTTCGAACGAAAAACACTTTGATTACAGTTACTAGCAGAGTATAAATTACAAGATTATCCTATGGATGTAACAGAGTGAGCTATCTAATGTTTAACCATATTATGGAAATTATTCATTATTAGTTCCACTATCAGCATCTAATATATAGATGCGCACAAGGCCGTCTTCAATCCACTCTTATTGTACGACTGAGCAACCTTACTTACCAATTATATTTAAGATCTTGCACTGCGAAAATGTTGCTTTACGTTTGTTGCGTATTTTTTCTTCTCGGCTTTGGCAACTCGCACGTAAGTTTATTCAAATATCTCTATACTGCGTTACCGTGTTCACAAAAAATGTTTGAGCTTTCACGCGCGAATTAACGACCTGTTACAAATACTGATCTGTTTCAATTGGAAAAATAAAGGGCAACAAGCTTTACTAAACCCAGTAAATACAAAATAGCTGTTACGTATCAGCGATTATACAATTTCTGAATTGCAGCATTTTATCAAACACTTTATAATTATTATATGTATATATATTCAAGAAAGAAACTGTAATAATGCTGTAACTGTAACATGTAACTATTATTTTGTGTTTGTTGGGTAGATTTAGTTATATTTGTTTTTAAGTTTGACAGAAATAGTGAGAAATATATGTATATGTATATAGAAAAATTGTAATAATAAAAAAAGGCTGCAAAGTAGAACCTTGCAAATTGCTTCCTCATTATGTTACTTGGTTTTTTCTATCACAATGGTGCAAAGTAGAATCTTGCACTTTGCTTCTTGATTCTTTTCCTTCGTTCACAAAGCCTCCACTATGAGGAAGTTCTTTGATTTATTTTGCTATTTATATACGTACATACAGTTAAAAATGAGGTAAAAAGAAACAAAACAATAACGATAATTTTTTGAAAATTTCAAAACCACGTAAAATCTGAACCGCTTTAGCGATCTTGTCGAAATTCAATACCAAACAACATTGAACGTATCTTCAGTTATGAAGAACTATTTAGGTAATTCGTCGAATCTTTACGAAAGTTAGAGCGACCACGCCCTTTTTTCAAAAAATTTTAAATGACATAAAATCTGAATGGCTGCATATATTTCATTAAAAATCGCAACATTTAAAGAGGGATATCTACTTTACTTGCGTGCCAAATTTCAGTCCGATCGTTCTAATGGTTACTGAGTAAAAGGCACTTGAATTTTCGAAGCCCTGCATACACACACACACACACACACACACACGGACATTTTTTCTAAACTACTTTTCTTGACGTTTTAGACCATTTTAAGTATTGAACATGAAAATCTCGAAAAAAAATGTTTTCATGAAAACATAGCTTCCTCTATGAAGAAGCAAAAATGATTAATATTTGGATAACGAATTATAGTGTTAATGACAAGAATTTTCACGAGATTTACAAACTATAACTTGAAATGAATTGCAGCTGCAATGCTATGTCAATTTTGATAGAATAGCTGTCATTAGTGCTAGAAATTTGTTGTTTCAATAATACCCATTCTTCTAATCATTGTAACACATACTATATTTCTGCGCCTATAATACATGAAAAGAAATAATTTTTAAATCATAGAAAACATTATAATATTCATGCTTTTATTTCTAGGGAGTATCTGATGAAATGATGGAAATGGCCAAAATGTTACATGATTCATGTGTCAGTGAAACTGGTGTTGACGAAGGTGATTTAACAGACTTTTGATTTTGATTGTAATTATTATTTCGTATCGTTGGAAATACTTTTCTGAATTATATTCTTTAATCTTTTAGGTCTGATCGAAAAATGTCGCGATGGAGTATTTACAGAGGACAGTAATTTGAAGGTTAAAGCATTATATATATATATATATATAGATATATACACATATATGTATATTCGAAATATTTAACTATTGGGTTGGCAAGAAAGTAATTTTGGTTTGCACAAATAGATAGCGTTATGTTTACCGAAGTTACTTTCTTGCCAACCCAATAGTTAATTATGAATTATTGAATGCGATAATTCGTATAATAATAATAATAATGTATATAAAAATAATGTATATTATTCTTAAAAAATATTATAAAATAAGTGGTAAAGAAATTGTTCATATGTAGTATACGATTTTACTATGTTAATTCAAAATTAGCTAATTCACGTTGATATTATCTTACAGTGTTACATAAAGTGCATCATGGATCAAGTATCAGGAGTAAGTAATCATACGAAATTTATACAACGTGTCTGTAATGACTAAATATTGTATCAATGTCAATTAATGAAAGTCAATTAACAATTTTGCTTGTATTTATGGGAATTCAAAATCCACCACACGCCACATATTCTATATACTGTATAAGGATATATTTTCGAAAACCGGCCATCTTCATTAAAATTTATTTGTCAAAATTTACAAAATCCAATTGCTCGACTTTGTGCACAATTTCTTCGAAAATCTGTGCACTTTAACAATATTTAATGTTGTAAAAACGACGAAAAATTATTGGCGTATGAATGGCGAATGAAATTAAAGATATTCCATTTTGAACAATGAACTAGATACAAATATTTATGAGTAAATTATAATTCAAAAGAGTTTGACGTATAAAACTAATGATCATAGGTGGAGTGAATTATAATTTTGATTATAAAAAAATAATTTTCCTATTTTTTGAAGATAATTGGTACTGATACCAGACTATATATATTTACTAATTACTATTTGATAATCATCGCAGATGACTGATGATGGAGAAGTTGACGAAGAAACTGTGATCAGTATGTTACCTGAAGAGATGCAATCAGAGACAGCTCCAACTATTCGAGAATGTGGAACAGTTAGTAAGTACCTAAACTTATAATCCATTCATCAAATCAGTAGAATATATTTATAGCATTGATGTAACAGTATATCGACATTAATTGAATGATATCACTATTAAATATTTAAGACGAAGGAATACTATCTTTCAAAATTTCGAATAAAAATTTACAAAGTAACTTCATTACCGTGCAATACGATGCTGTCAGCAGTTAAATAATTGGGACTTTAATGCTGATTATCTCGACTTTTTTTTTATATGTAAATTAAAAACGCAAAAACATCTGTTCCTTAGAATTTACCAAGGAATGAAACAATGCTACCTCAATGATTTAATACCTGTATATATACAATATGAGTCGTCTTACAAGCAATTTCAGTAAAACTACTAATGTTATCTATTGAACGATATTATAAATCGATGTAATCACGACAAGTTTTTATCAGCACTCAAGCAGACATTTCAAATGACGTGAAGTCATTATTGTAGAAATTTAATAGAGTTTTAGCGTAAAATAAAAGACGTCAATAAATTTAAAAAATGCGTATTTGCACTTTCAGGGGGATCAGACAACTGCGATACCGCTTTTCAAACTCATAAATGTTATTACGCTAAAAATCCAGAAGTAAGTAAATAACGATGCTAATAATTATTTTGCAACTTATTATATCTTGCTTTATTATTATTTGCAGAATTACTTTTTGGTATAATGAAATCGCAATTGACGCCACGTTATAGTCATCATAGGGTTACCACATTAATATGTAATCGATTTCCTTGGTTTCTATTGGGTTAATTTATCACGATAGCAATAGAATGTTGTATATCAATTATAAGTAGATAATTAATGAGTTATGAGTAAGCGCATGTTTTATTACAGTCAATGTAACGCTACTAACAATTATATAAGAAAATCCTGGAGCAAAAGTATATTCTAACATTGGTACTGTGATTGGATTATATTATTGCGAATAAATTTTTTAAATACAATAAAATAAATATAATTTAAGCAATTTTCACTTTTTTTTGTCATTATTAAGTTGCACTTAATAGCTCTTGATATATTATCGAGATAAAGGGACTAGCGATTGTCCACAAGAGCCTGATGTTCAGTCCATATATACATACCTAGTGGCATCTATCATACGAACTCATCCGGATATCCCGTCACACGAAAAAGATGCAAAATCATATTGATTTAATTTCGAACGAAAGCAAATAACATGAAAGATTTTGCTTCTAACGTCATTACTCCGTCTACCTGTGCGACGTTCCTGTGTTGAAATTGATAGAACAGTAGCGTTAACCTCTATATCACTACAGTAAAAAGTACGTAATTGGATTTTCGAAACTTCGATAATAATACATCGATTAAATCTTAATTCGAAGAATTAACGTCATGAGATACATGAAAAATTGTGATACGAATAATCGCATCTGACACGCACTATATTTCTAGTCTAATCTTCATTTTATCATAAGCAGAATCCCAAACAGTATTTAAATGGCTTAAACGGTAACCTCTGTAGCATTAGATCTCTAAAAAATGACTTTTGGACAGTATAGTGTTTTCTGGGCAACAGCACAGAATAATTTTAAATTTGAACCAGAATTGTATGGCATTATAACAAAGTTGAAGAAAACGCTTTAGGCTTTTTTTTCTTAAGCGACGTAACGACAAGTTTACGCATTACCTTACCCCTTGCGGTTTGGATATAATTTCGGAGGAAAAACACGTGGTGGTACGACAGCAGATATAAATTTTACTGACGTTATATATCGATTCATTATTTAACCTTTTAGCAGCTATGGTATCTGAGGTACGCTTATTTTATCGGATCATACAAATTTGACATTCAGCAAGACAGAGCTACGAATGGGTTAAGTACCATTTTCTGCGAGTCGGATGGAAGCTAGAAGTACCGTATTAAGTTAGGTTAGGAAATAGTACATTACGATACAAGTGCGCAAAGTAGGTGATTCCCGCAAGAGTCGGGTTTGTCGCCCGAGCGACAAAATTCGATTTTGCGCACGCTGTTAGGAAAAATAGTATACGATACATGTGCGCATAGGCGTCTCCCGCACTCGTCTCTTTTGTCACCCTCGCTACGCTCGGGCGACAAACCCGACTCTTGCGGGAATCACCTACTTTGCGCACTTGTATCGTAATGTACTATTTCCTAACCTAACTTAATACGGTACTTCTAGCTTCCATCCGACTCGCAGAAAATGGTACTTAACCCATTCGTAGCTCTGTCTTGCTGAATGTCAAATTTGTATGATCCGATAAAATAAGCGTACCTCAGATACCATAGCTGCTAAAAGGTTAAATAATGAATCGATATATAACGTCAGTAAAATTTATATCTGCTGTCGTACCACGTAGGTGTTACTCGCAATAATTTATTGAAATAAAATTAATAGATGGAAACTATCTTGATTTATCAATTCCAAGGTGGTACTAATTCTCTTAGACGAATTTATCTGTCTACGTAAAAAATAAAAATCACATCCAATAATTATCTAGATATCTGTATATATTGTTGATGCGACACTCCATGTGAGAGAGATAGACATGTATACCCCCAGGAGGGAGTTAATCAGACATATTTATCATAAAGGCTAAGGCCTGCGCCTTCCTAAGAGGCAGTTCAGCGTGACTTCTCAGGAAGTCATATGCTTTCTTTGCCCCGCCATATACAATAGCTCGTAATAATAGTAGTCATTAAATAGTTTGTCATATTTATCAGTGAAACAGTGCAACTGAAAATGCCGACCGATGAAATAATGTTTAAATTTTATAAATTATGCACAATATGCATTGTTGTTTTTCCATTATTCGTTGGAGCGGCTAATTTACACCAAAGTCATGGTATGTATTTTCTTAAGCTCCGTTCATCGTAACATTATTTTGTAGGATCAATCCTCTGAAAATTTAAAGATTACTATAACTTCCTTGATAAAATGCAAATCGATCAACTGTTATCTTCATATGTCATATCTCTGACTTAAGTTCATAAACAAATTAACGCTTACCGAAGAAAACATTATTGGCAATAAAGTCATCAGAAGAGTATATTGCTATGGAGGGCCAAGCACATTGTAATCTGTATTTTGACTGTCGTATAGGGCGTACAACAAATTTCACAAATTTAAAGCGTCGAATAACAGAAAAAAATACTCATAGGTATTCGCACGTTCGTATCTTGCCAAAGACATAACATCATAAACGTAATAGTTAGATAGATTTTAAATAAAAATTTGATAATTATATACCCAATCAATATAATAATGTAATATTTATCAGTATAATATATTGTCAGCCGTTAAATTATTGGGCAAAAAAAATATTAAATAATAAAAATATAAATAAAGCCGAGAGCTTATAATCAATAATGCATTTACAATTATTTTCAGATATTTCACGAAGATCATTGCTACATGTAGAAACGAACTCGTTAAATTGGCCAGGAACAGACGAATTGTCCAATAGCCCTATAATAGTACGTTTGCTAGCAAGAGAGACTACTGAGGAAAACTGTACATCACGTTCAATAAATGAATTTCCAAATGATTTATTTACAAAAACTCAAAGGAAACATGGGGCATTACTGTTCCATGCACTCTTCGCTGTATACTGTTTCACTCTCACCGCATTTGTCTGCAATGATTACTTATTACCCGCAATGGACTGTATCTGTACGGACCTCAAAATCAGCGCAGACGTAGCGGGTGCGACTTTCCTGGCGACGGCTAGTTGCTTCCCTGAGCTTTTCGTGAACGTCGTCGGGACCTTTTTGACACAATCCGATCTTGGCGTTGGTACAGTCGTCGGTAGTGCCGTCTTCAACATCTTTGCGATTCCCGCCTGCGGAGCTTTATCTACTGTACAGGTATTTTCATATTACCCACAATCTTAGTCACATTCGTTGCAAGATTGCAGTGACAATGAGAGATAAGTTCATATCAAAGTAGGCATCTGTAGATAATCAGATTCACCATTGACCTGTGTGCTTTTTTTGTTCGTACACAAATTCGACACTTTTCATAGACGTTGGCTCCTTTTTTTTTGTAAAATATTATCATTTTCATTAATGTGGGGATTACATAATTGTAACTACAGTAACTAAGATTAATATCAATTCTGCTATGTTGAACGAATTGTGAATGTTATCGTTCAAAGTACGGTTGCTAGATGGCAAGGAGTTGAAAAGAATCAACCCGAAACTAAAGTGTATCTTTTAAATGTATATATCAGGATAACACCTTCAGGGGACACACTTTATTAAAAGTGTGTTAACTTGCGTCGAATTTCGCGAGGAAAAGTGTGTATCTCAAGTGGCATCATGTAGATGATACTGACAATTTTGTTTTAATCCGATATCATTCTTAGATAATTTTTTTAGTAATACAAATTTTTCATTTTCATAGTTCTTTAACACTCGAGTTACCGGTACGGAGGAATTATTCAGACATATTTTACATCTTGATTGTACACTGACGTGAATGCCGATTATGTCAACTGCTAAATCAAAAGTACAACCGATGGAAATTATAAACTCGACCAGTACTGATATAAGATATACATTGACGTCTTTGTTACGTCAGTTAAAATCGATCGATTGAAATAAAAATTGTACGAGGCTGAATATATTTTTCTAATCAAATTCTTACCGACGCTCTCAAATTCCGTCACGTTCATTATCATGGCCTGGGAAAAACTGCCTACGTATAATCAAATCTAAAGTTTGTCTCTATCCGATCTGATATACAATTTTACAAGAATTCACTATCAAACTGTACATTCTATGCAAGTAATATTTTCATTGTAAGTGTAGGTATTACATTTTCATAGTGTATTTTTGTGCAATATTAGATCTGATCAGATAGAGAAAAATTTTTAATTTGATTATATTACTATATACTGTAGAGGCGAACACAATTTTCTTTTTGTTCGTTTTGCACAAAAAACTTATTTCTCTTATTTAGTCGTTCCGCCGATATTTACTTTAGTAATTTCCTAATAATTTATTCGGGCTCGAGCCCACTTAATTTATACGTTTCAAATAGACGTACCGTGAAGGAGTTATATGTAGAAGTTATATATAGATTATATTTAATTTTAGAATTACTTATTTCATTCACAGAATGTATATTTTCAATGCTCGAATATCTACCTATTTCGGCAGAACTAATTTCTGTAATTTATATTTCCTTTTTTGTTCTAGGGAGTCAAACTAGACTGGACCGTACTAGCTCGAGACAGTCTTCTGTACACAGTAGCGTTAGCGGCATTGATCATCTCTATGTGGGATGGATATATCACTTCGTACGAAGCAGTATCTCTCACAACACTCCTTCTTGCCTACTATGGCTTCCTCTTCTTCAACAAAATTATTTACCGATTCTTCAGCAAGACCCTCTCGTGTTCTTCAACGGGCTCTGAACTAATGGACGAAAAATGTACGTAAATGCATTTTGAGAATTAACTGATGAAAAGTAGATTAATGACTCAAAAGTTAATTAGGACCGACTATATGATAGGTCCATAAGTTCAATGTGTTTTTTTATCACACAACGCACAAATGCAATTCACGTTATATCGTATCATGAAAAAATGTTGTTTCGAATCTGCAAAAATGTTGTTCGCCGTACACAAACATGTGTAAAAGTAAGGAGTGCATATTTTAAATATCTTTATATATACAGTGAGGACAAAAAGTCTGCATACACTGCAAAGTAAAATGAAAAAGTGAAAAAAAAAGAAATTCATATAAAAGCAGTAAAAGATAAAAAATTGGAAATGGAGTTCGAACCTTAAACTATTTATTTATGAAAAATAGTTACAAATATGATTAAAGATTACTTATGAAAAAAGGTATTTCTACGCCAAGTCTGGAAAATCACGGCCAAAAAGTCGTCGTACACTAAGAGAATTTGTTTATTGTCTGATGAACAACGCGATAATCAATATTTTTTTGGACCCCCTTTAGCTTTAATGATGGCTTGAAGTCTACGTGGCATAGAATGAACTAATTTTTTAGTGTAGATTTGCAAGTCATTTTTATTGGAAATTTGTTTATCGTGAATTTTTTTTTGTAGATAATCCCATAAGTATTCCATTGGGTTGACCTCCGGTGACTGCGGAGGGGTTTTAAGATATTTTGGGGTATTATAGAGTATCCACTTTCTTGTATTCCATGCGCTGTGCTTCGGGTCGTTATCTTGCACGAACAGCCAATCGTTATTTAGATTCATTTCTGTAGCACTTGGCCGAAGATTTTCTTTAAAAATTTCCTTAAAGATTTCCAACTCCAGAAGCACTCATACAACCCCATACCGTGACTGATCCCCCACCATGTTTCACCGTAGGAATTAAATTTTGTGTCTCAAATTCGGTGTTCGGGTTGCTCCACGCTTTGCATCGTCCACCAGTCTCAAAAATATTATATTTTGACTCGTCGGAAAAAATTACACGTTCCCAGAAGTCGATTGGCTTATGTTTGTACTCTTTTGCAAATCGCAACCGCTCTTTTTTCTTTTCTTTACTTATCCAACATTTCCTCCGAGCGGATCTACCATGATACCCCGATGTATGCAATACGTTTTTAACTGTACTGCGTGATATACTGACTCCACTTACATTAGTTATGTCTTGCAGTATTTGAGTGCTGGCTATTCTTGGATTTTTTTTAACTGAATTAGTTATTTTTCTACGCACACGATCAGTTACTTTCGTCGGACGTCCACTTCGGGGTTTATTCTCCTAGGATTTTCTCATACAAAATCGATTAATGACACTTTGCACCGTTGATCGTGGTCTGTTAACTAGTTTTGCAATTTGAGATAATGATTTACATTGATTATGTAATTTAATAATCAATTGTCTCTCAGTTTTATTCGTTTCTTTGCGTTTTCCTTCCATTTCTGTATAAAACGACGTCAGTACAACGAAGCTCTCATCACAACTAAAGAAAATTGTTTCTCCGAACAGTCAAATACTCGGCCCGATTTTTTACGTAGTCGAATCACCTCTTGGCCACCTCTGGATTTTTCTCGAGTTTCGAATATGCCGCGTGTACGACGACTTTTTGGCCGCGATTCCTCGGGATTGCCGCAGAAATACTTTTTTTTCTAAATAATATTTAATCATATTTGTAAATATTTTACATAAATAAATAGTTTAAGGTTCGAACTCCATTTCGGATCTTTTTCTTTTACTGCTTTTATATGAATACTTTTTTTTCTAAATAATAGTCAAATACTCGGCCCGATTTTTTACGTAGTCGAATCACCTCTTGGCCACCTCTGGATTTTTCTCGAGTTTCGAATATGCCGCGTGTACGACGACTTTTTGGCCGCGATTCCTCGGGATTGCCGCAGAAATACTTTTTTTTCTAAATAATATTTAATCATATTTGTAAATATTTTACATAAATAAATAGTTTAAGGTTCGAACTCCATTTCGGATCTTTTTCTTTTACTGCTTTTATATGAATTTCTTTTTTTTTCACTTTTTCGTTTTTACTTTGCAGTCTATGCAGACTTTTTGTCCTCACTGTATATATATATTTGATGTATTACCAAAAGTTTCATCAATTTTTTTGATAACTCCGAAACTGTTCGCTGTCCTGGAAAGGAATGGCAGACAGAGTGATAAGACAAGGATTAGCAATCGCGAAAAGAAAGTGGCAGCTGTGGGTCACTCGCGGCTCGCCTTGACCGATTAACTAATTGCATTTATGAATAAAAACTAATTTTCTTATAATTATATTTTTGCATTCAGAAATCTTAAACACGAATTTCGATCAATTTTTATACACTTTTAATAAAGAACAGTGCTGCACATTTCTCGAAAGGTTATTCATCTTCAGATTACACTTGATATTTATTAATGTTTCCGAGTGTTGAAAAATGTTTCATTTTCTACAGCACCCGATTCACCAACGAACGATCTGCCCGTAGGAACTTACAAGCCGTTCTATCACGGAGAACTAGTGTTGGAGTATAGGAAAAGTTTTAGAAAATCCCACAAGAAGGATCCGTCCAACATGGAAGCAAATACTGTGATTCCCGAAGAACCACCAATCGAAGAATACGTAGAGCCAGGTATGAGAAATTATATTAAAACCACATTCTATTATATTTCGTATTACGTTCGCCAGAGTCTAGTCTATTGGAAATGGAATTGACATGGGACAATAAAAATACTTTTGATTCGCTTGTAGCTTAAATATAATTATTATCCCCGTATAGAAATAACAATTCATTAAATGTCTTTCTTCGACTATAGCATTGAATAAGTTGTCGCGTCTAACCTCGCGAGTTACTAAAGTTTTTTTTTTCTTCTTAATCTCGCATAACCAACATTTCATTCGTACAGATACCCCATTCAATTGGCCAAAAGGAAGAACATTGGAAAAAGTATGGTTTTTCTATACGTGGCCATTGAGGCTTATACTCTTCATAACCATACCTGACACAAGATATAAGAAGATGCGAAACTGCTATCCATTAACCTTCATTATATGCGTCATTTGGATTGCGATATCATCCTATTTGGTATCCTGGATGATAACTGTAATAGGCGACACATTAGGTATCGCTGATTCCATTATGGGTATCACATTCTTGGCGGCTGGAGGTAACATGCCTGAATTCATATCCATTATTATTCTTGCAAAACAAGGTAAGACGCCAAGGAATATGCGATAAGTCAATTGCTTGATAAGCATTTTCAAGAACGATTGGCAACGATGCTTAACGACACATTTTTACAGGCAATGGCGACATGGCGATGAGTAATTCATTTGGATCTAACAGCCTGGACATACTGTTATGTTTGGGCTTACCCTGGACTTTGAAAACATTAATTTTCAGCACCAATGTAGAAATTGTATCGCATGCCCTTGTCTACAGTGTCATAGGTATAATCATTTGCATAATTGCACTCTTCATCGTGTCGGCCATGACTAAATTCTGGATAAACAAAAAAGTCGGCCTGGCCTGTCTCCTCATGTACGCAATTTATCTCGTTCTGGCGATACTCGTAGAGTCAAACGTATTCTTCTTCGTGAATTGGCCGATGTGCGACGACTGAGAATGATTGTTGACTGGGATATGAAACGTAGAAACGTCTATGATGAATTTCATATCTGGAGTAGGCAATGGGTCACGTGGAATGTAACATGAATTTCATGGACATTTGCCTTGTGGTTTTTTAACTCAGTTAAGACATTACTCGTAGAGTTTTCTCCTTCATCGTCATTCCAATGTGTTTCTTTCGTAGCACGTAAAACTTCGTACCTGTTAAAAATTTAATCTACAGTGCCGGCCAAAAGTATTGGCACAGTGAAATAAGGTTCTGGAGTTTGATCAGAGTTCTGTATGATGTCTCTTTCATATATGTAATTCCTGTATGAGGGAAATTGCGTTAGTTTTAGGATATAAATTAGCGGCTTGAATTTTTTTCTCTCCACAGCCATTCACGATCAACGATTATCTCATGTGCACGTGCAATAACAGAAGCGCGTAAAGAAATGTCTTTAGAAGCGTTTTATGTTCGTGCCAGAACATTAGTGCAGTAACGTGTTAGAAGCTTTTTCACATAGCGTTATATCTTATGATAGTATTTAATTATTTTTAATGCTCGTTATACCATTAAGTATTAAAATATATTATAATTTTATGTGCGAACTGCGGGATACCTTATCACAGGTTATCTATAGCAAAGTTGAGTATACCGGTGTACGAAATGGTATATATACCCCTTTTAGAATTGAAGTTCCTTCTTTTGAGAGACATTGGATACGCGATAATTATTTTGAAGTTTTAGTAAAGATATAACAGTAATGAAATATGGGGTATTTTATCTATGGGTGTTGCAATACGGATTAGATGCATATTTTGATTCTCAAAAAAAATATGCATTCATTTTTTTCACATGGTATATGTACTCTTTTGGAAAACTGTATGTGACCAAATTTTAATGACAAGTTACACTGATACATTTGTTATAGTCACTTGTTTCAAGTTGATGTCGACAAGTTTCAGATGATATTATAAAGGGCGTGTTCCGAAATGTACTGACAGTACTGCCAGTACCGTAACCAACGCTGTGTCCTTATTTATCCATAAGCATTTATAAGAGATGTAATTACTTTTACATAACTATCTGTAAATTTCGCGACACACCCAAATACGTTGTTTCGCATTTAGTTTTATTATATTATAGCCGTTTTTAAATTGAGGGTACCAGCAATCAGCTGTCAGATTTCGAGGTTATATAATAAATCGTTGTGTGGTTCTTGGTACCTGGTTAAATACAGTACGTTGTCTGTAAATTGAACTAATTGTCTCTTATACCCGAACACAATTAATTGATTTTATTCGCGTACGTGGAAACTTGATTGCTCGTAATTTTATTTCATTATATTTTGAAAATTGATTTACTTTAGACTTCCGTAAAGAGATTAAAGTTTATGCATATGAATGTGTGTATGTACATGTGTAAATATATTGATATAAAAATAGTATGGGATAAGTAAAAGTAGATATATTGTAATGAACGAATGAATGAACAATTTAATATATTATCGCAAGAAAATTAATGGAATAGGGTAAAGTGAGTAAAGATGGACTGAATAAATTTCACATTTTTTAAAATTATTTTGGTACTCAAAAATAAGATCAGCTACGCAATTTTTTTGTTTGGATGTCCTTTTTCGGAAAAAATAGTACTGCGTAATTAACAATTTTTTTTTGAATATTATGAGATGGTCCATTCTTTTGCAGAGTAAAGACGGTCTGATAATATGGACCACTATAGTCGTGACGATGAAACAACGCAGTCGGCATTAAACAGTGTACAAATTAGACAGTATTAGTTGATGAGAATGGAGATAATTAAAGAGAAATGCATTAAATATAATATTATTTCATTTACTTTTTGATATTACTCTGATAAAAAAAAACTATCATTAAATGTTATTGATAGTATTATTTTTATAATATTTCGGGTTGCATAGAGCATACAACTAAACGAACAATTGCTACTGACGTTTCCTCATGAACAATTTTATTATATTTTCCGATAATTATTTTTATTTCTATTAAAAATTTCTTTTCCCTAGTAAATTCGATTAAAAAGATAAAAGTATCCCTTACATGCATTTTTCGTTAGCTAAGCTTGTTTAAGATTTTATTAATCAAAAGTATGATTCAAAAAATCTTGCGCTCATCTTTTTACGCTGGTTCTTCTTCATTGACTTTACCCTACTTATATTAGCAATGACAACGAAGTGTTCTTGAATCCGAAAAAAATACTCTGACAAACGAAAAATACTCTTTCGCCGAAACAATATCAAACAATGAAGTTATATTTAATTAGGAAATTGTAACCTTTAAATTGTGATAGAACCCTTGAATATTTATACATATATACGAAGCCATGTTAGTTTAGCCATTGTAAGTGATATTATAGGGAAAGTAAAAGATAGAAGAGAACTATCTACAGAAATATTCTAAGCGCAATAATAAATACAAAATTCGATACGTACTTATTGTTACTGTTTCATTAAATTTATTTATTCTATTTACGAATGTATCCATCGTACATCTTAGGTATAAGAGTAAATAAATATAGTAAAAATTCAATATAGAAGCATTGCCAAGAAAGAGTGTTCACACAAGCGTGATATCTCAGTATGCTAAGAACTAATAGAAACAATGGTACAATCGCAAAAGTGTATTTTCTATTATACTTTTTAAAATCATTAAATAATCAAAATAATAAAATACAAAGTAAAATAGAGAAAGCTACGTCGCGATTAAAACTTTATTAAACAATTTGCTTTTCACTTAACAATATAGAAACAATTTTAGCTTTAAATAGAGTGCACCAAAAGATCACAAAGTTTATAATATATCTGATACATGCATCCGTAATTAATAGCTAATTTTTCACCTTTGTGTTTAACACTTGGAAAATTTATATTCAGCCGCCGTATGGCGACGATCGACTCTTGAATTATTTTGCAGTGAACGGGCGATGCGCGAAACTAAATTTATTTATTTATTTATTTCCTCATGCCTTAAGCTCTGTCCCAATAAGATTCAATTGCAGAGCCGGTAATTGCTGGGTGATACAATAAAATTACCAACAGTTCCACTGTAGCGTTTACATCCTCGGTGACACTAAACAGTAACGTCCTCTGTTCTTTCTTTTGATGTGCATAAACCAAGATTATTCACGTTGAAAGGAGTATGAGAGTGAAGTTGTTCAAGGATGCTTTAAAAGATATAAAACGACATTCGTACGCAACTTCTATAAAATTCTCACAGGTCATGAAAATCTTTACCGTAGGTAGAAAAGTAATCGCGTATTACGACAATTACAATGTACAAATTTATCTCTTTTGCACTGTTCAGTGCAATGCAATGCGTATAATGTAATGTAATTTCTGTATAGCATTATTGTGACATCCAATCTCACCATAGCAGAGTTACCCAATAAACAAAAGTTGGTCCGAAGGAAGTCGTAGAGAAGTTGCTAACTCGAACTTTGTTTTTGAAAAAATATTACCAAAAAGTTGCTACGAGGTAAACTGAAAGTCCCAAGTTAAATAAATTTCGTGTATATCACAATTAACGTTCACGTAAAAATCCAATCGCACTGCAAGTTTTAGGAATGACAAATTGTATGCCGAATATTATTCCTATAGAAAACATCAATGGGAGTTTTACTCCTGACTGGTACGCTACTGTCGTGCTACTTTTGCTTGTCGCGGACTTTCAGCTTCTCTGTATAAACTTGTCAATGCTTTTTTGAACATCGGGGTTAAAGTTAATAATTTCTGTAGGATTTTTCTGCGGTCGACTTGAGTATCTCGGGTAAGGTATCATCGCATCTCAAACTTTTGGTTCGTTTTAATTTTTCAAATTCACCTTTTTCTTCTACGCAATCAAAGCTCTAGGAAAATCGTAGCAATTTTCAAAAGCAAAAAGCTTCTCTTTGACACCGAATTTTACACTGTAACGTATTATTCTCATTCATTTATTCGCAATTCGTTGTTAATTATCCAATCGGTAACTCTAAAGCGTTGAGCACAGTTTTACCTCGAATCTATATAGATGTTATAGAACATCGTAGAACATTAGAATTATGAGCGCAAATATCCCGGTCAGTAATTGCTTGAAAATCCATTGGACAGTATAATTGATTTAATCGTTATGAATGAATAATGTGTTCTTTGTTGTCTGTCTGACTTTCAATCTTATTAACGTATCCCAAAGTTACAATTGATTTAAAGGATAGTCCAGCCGAATTATGAAGCAATGATCTTGACAAAAGTTTGACTTTTCGAAACATTCCGCAGTAAATACATTCTTGTGAAATACGTAATACCGTCAGCTGTTTTATTATCAGTAGCAAACATCATCATTAAATGATTATAAAAAAAAAAAAAAGAAAAAATAGAAAAAATTATATGTCAACGAGAATAGAGAGAAAAGATCAAAAAATGGATAATCGATAAGGATCAAGGATATGGGAGATGAGACGGAGAGGTGAGCAGATTCCAATAATAAACTTGTCTCTTAAATTATGATTATTAGGTAATTTGTAAAACTAGATAAATAGGAATTGTGTAATGATAGCAAAGGCATAACGTATGTGTCTATACCTCTAAAGAGATTTTAAGCTTGCAACCGATCTGGATGCATCACTAATTATAACAATTTTGGTAAGAATTTATTAACGTCATTAAGGACTAACTGTCGTAAGCCAACTCTGATCCGTGAGATTCTGTAGCAAGTTGTCGAATTATATGAAAATTAGGAGAGGACGTACCTCTAATCTAACGTGAGTAAGTTGAATGTGTCGAGTAGTTAAAATCTGAAAAAGTTGATTACGGAAGTTGCGTCGATAACTCACTTATGTTAGGTATGCATATTGTGGAGACTATTTTGAGAAGGACTAATTGTGTACGTGTATAATAATATAGACATAACGATAGAAGGTTTTTGCTCAAATGTCATTGGCCCTGGTGTAAATATATGTTTTTAATTTTCAATATTTTTTTTCTCCGTGTCGTATTACGTCCAGTAAAAAGTATATGTATACGATGCCCGAGAGGTATGTATATTTTATTAACATTGCGCTAAGCGCGTAGACTTATACACTCTTATGTGTGTTCCAGGAGAATACAGAATCTTCATTGTTATTAATTCTATCGTTATCCGTTATCTAGATCTGTCGTGAATTTTGGGCAACCTACTTTATCATGTTTAAATTGAATATTATCGTCGATCGACTTTTCGTATTCTTTACTCTAGATTCGTCTGAGTCTGAGCACCGAATTATTGAAAATATAGTACCCGAAGGATAAGGATGACGCCTTAACATGTTCCTCGTGATCGTAATTCGCTATATCTACCTAAAGTGAAGTAGCTTGAAAAATGTCTCTTAAGGAAAAGATCTCGTCCGTGTATCATACTACGTACTTTTTTTTGGTGAGAATTGCCATTTCATGGAAATGCCCTAGAAAGAGTGTCTATGAATTTAATTGTCTTTTATGTGAATTTGTAATTATTTTACCATGGCATTCGCCATGTACATTACGGTACTGCATTCTGTCGTGCACTATTTAATATCGGTAGCAAATACATGGCTGACATTAAAAAATCGTATCTCGCTTGTGACAATTTATTGGATTTTTTTTTTTCGTATCAATTAATACGTAATTGTAACGAATATTTCGATCGTAAAAATTGGCAAACAACGCGAGACGACGTTAAATTTTATCATCGTCGTCCCTATCGAAATCTACAAGTTGTTCGATTTCAGTCGCTGGCGTTATTCGGAAATTGCACGATTCATTGAAATCACATTTCCAATAGGAATAGTTAATATTTTTCAAAATATCGCAGGTTTATGATTCGACTAGAAAACTTGAATTACTTCGAGATTCATCACCCATGAAAGAATATACCAATCGAAGCAAGCGTTTTTTAAAATTCTACTCGTAAATCCGCAACTTCATAAATACTCGTATATCCTTATTGAAATTTCCTTAACCAGCTTGAGCTTATCACCAATTCCAGTTAGCCCACTCGTAAGCATAGACCAAGTGGAACTTGTTCAAAATACTAAAGACCAAAATCTGGTCCACTTCTCAAACAGCCTCAAACTTCGAGAATTCGTATTCATAGCTGACCAATTATGCATAAACGTGCAAGTTCTTCCTCCCTTACACGTCCTTCGTAATCGTCTTAATTGTCGCCAAGTGCCAGGCAGATTAGAAAGATTTTTGTTGCATCAGCCAGAGTGTCAAAGAAACAATTGAAATTATCTCTTCATTGTATCTCGCAGAAAGGAAGCTTGTTGTTGACTTCTTTGGTCTGTTCGTGATCCTGACTGTGGCCGCCCTCGCTCTTCGGACTACCACCCTCTTCAAGGGAGCCCCCACCGGCACCGTGGGGGCAAATCGATTGTCATCTAAGCGCCAGAGTGGACACCATTGGAGGCCGGGACGGTTTGTTGTCGAGTATTCTCTCGATCTCGTTCATCATGTTTGCATTGAGCTTTGGAATGAGCTGGAATCAAACGAGAACAAAACAATGATTCTTAGAGCCGCATGGCATTGTGATCCTTGAGAAAAGCTCAGTACATAATACAATATACATATATATATATAGGTAAAATAAGAATCTCCTATACCTGCAAACTTTGTAAACTCTCGTACAGTTGATCTATGTTGGAGGCTCCGAGAAGAAGGCACTGTACACTTTCGTTCTTTAAGGACCAGGCGATGGCCAGTTGTCCAAAGGAGCATCCCAATCTCTCAGCCAGGGCGCAAACGTCCCTCAGTTTGTCCGAGTACTTGCGCGCTTCCTCGTCGACGGTCTTATCTTTCCACGCGTACTCCTGCATCAATGAGATAAATCGTCTTATTTGCCTGGGACAGAACGTCAAAAAGTAAACCGCCTCCAAGTCGACGATCTTCGAAGGCGTACGAGGAAACGCACCTCTTTGTACAAAGATTGGGTTTCATCCTCGGTCCAACTGAACGAGGAATACTTATTCTGAAAATACAAAGCGAATTACTCGCAGATCAATTGAAATCACAGTGACAACTTCCGCTTATAGATGTCGAATAAATTCTCATATCGGTTATCAGTCGATGAAAAATATTTTTCCAGATAGAAAAACAATGCGTTTTCGTTACAAACAAAGTGCTATCTGTCTTTGAGTTACTTTATCGTGTCTTATCTTTACCTTGTATGACGATCTAGAAAGGAAAGACATTCCGGAGTCATCGGGTTTCGCAGAGACCATCCCGATTGTTACAGTCGACCATGCCATTAGACCGACTCCTGCAATAAATCGTTAATTTATAAAATTCTAATGTTATTGGAAATTGATTTCTTCCGAGCCCTTTTTAAAATCTATCGTATTACCAATTTTATTGTACAGCTCTGGCATGTAAAGCTCTGGTTTGTCTCTGTAAAACAGATGGTACTCCGCCTGCTCGACGATCGGAGTGACGCAATTGAACTGCCTGCAGTTCGTATAAGCCTCCATGATTTCCACAGGGGACCATCGCGACGTACCCCAATACATCACCCAACCTTTACTTATTACGTAATTCATAGCACGTACTATTTCTATAACAATTAGACAAAATGACGTAAAGAAATTTTAACCAGAGCAAACATATTATGTGCGTTCGGTTTAAACTTTTATACAACTTGCTTTACATATTTGTACATACAGGGTGTTCGTCATGAAACGCACTGCAGTAACATCGTTGCATTCCTTGTCAAATTCTAAAAAATACGTGTATTTTCATTTTTTATTTCATATACCAAAATTTTGAGATAATCAAGGTTGAAGTTGCAGTAATGCGACCAATCAGAACGCGTTTAAACGGAGCGTAGATGACGTCGTGAGCCAGCCCGCAAGACCTGCTTACACTAGGCCAATAACACTAAGAGTATCGTCGTAGTGTCCCTGTTTATCTGCATGTAATTGAGTAAGATACAAGAGACGATACTCTTAGTGTTATCGGCCTTGTGTAAGCAGGCCTTGTGAGCTGACTCGCGACGTCATCTATCCCACGATTATCTCGAAATTTTGATACATTAAATAAAAAATCAAAATACACGTATTCCTTAGAATTTGACAAGGAATGCAACGGTGTTAGTACAGTGCGTTTCATAACGAACACCCTGTATATCTACTGCATATGTGATAAACTCTTCCAATAATTAATGTTTTACTAATAATAATAATAACATGATTGACGTACAGTCAAAATAAACGGAGATTATACGAATTAATATCTGCATCGTCTATAAAACATTATCTATATGCATATAGACCAATAAACGTAGTTTCAAATCCACACAAACTTTTTGATAAGATGTAATAATTATTAAAAACTTACCTTCCATCGGGCACATTGGATCAACTTTATGAATCATGACTATGTCAATATAAGATAGTTGTAATCTGACTAAAGACGCTTGCACGGATTCGATTATGTGCTTGCGAGATAAGCCCCGTCCTTCGGTCCTATTAATAGACAAATAAATATGTAAATAATGCCAATTGATATTAACAACAATAATTACTCAGTGATACATTTAATACAAAAACTCCATAGAACATGAGATACTAGATAATAACTTAGTCAATATTCTCTAGATAAAATATGGATATAGGCCCTTTCAATGAGCTTACGTAAGATAATTCATGAAATTAATTATAGAAATAAGTTGTGATATTGAAAAAAAAAAAATTGTTTAAACTATGCCATTAAAGTTTCGCCAATTGAAAATCAGCTTACGATGATTACTATAAACGCACTTGATAGTATACCAAGTAACCGAATTTCACGTTTCGTAAGATTTACGTCAATCGAATTATGTGATGTCGATGAGAATTTCAAATGTAATTCAGATTTAACCTACTTGGTATTCCAGTATATCTTTGTGGTAACGACATAGCTGGAACGATTCCAAGCACGACGTAAAAGGATGCGTCCCAATTGTATCTCTGCGCGTTGTCCGCTATGGGCTTCACTCAGATCGAACACGTTAATCCCACTGTCGTATGCCAGAGCCACAACAGCTTCCGCTGTTTCCTCGCTACTGCAACCTCCTACGCCGCCGAAGGTTGTCCACGTACCTGCATAACGTGACAGCGTGAAAATTCATAATACATAGAACAAATAGACGAAGATAATAATCACAATAATCACACGCTTATAAATACATTATACAATAGTACAACGTCCAATGGATCTCATAAGGATGTATCTGGATTAAATAATAAACGAATTATTTTTGACTAGATAATCAAAACGTCACGTCGCTCGGCAGATCACATATACATATAGCGATAATTGAAAATTAAACGTTGTTATAGGCAGAACGTGAAATTTATAGCGTTTCCAAGTCTGCTTTCGTTATTTGATTGACTTTTAATTCGCGATTCGAAAACGTCAGGTTGTTTGATTTGTTGGGAGTTCATTCAACGTGTACTCGTTTATATGTTTATTCCATATGAATATATATATATGTCAGATGTATATGAAAGAGGTCATAAATGGTAAAATTTATTTTATACGGCTTGGTTATATAGACCAACAGTGTGCTTATTTTGCATCCTTTTAAAGTATTAAATATTACGTAAAGTTGGTGGCTATCCGATTAATGGAAAACAGGAAACATGGAAGACCTACTGCGACGTTCTCACTGTAGTATATTAGCTGCACTGTCAGTTGCATTTTATTTTTTCGTATCGTCGTTTCAAATTACAAAGAAATTTGCGATACTTAACAATACAATTTTTCATGAAAATCTATATATGTATGGAAAAAATTGAAGTACCATAATTATTTCTTTTTAATAGTTTACTTTTTTCGGTTGGACATTACTTTGATTTGGACATATGTTGATGTTATCATTGAAATCGCATAATCAACATACGTGACATATCAAAAAATCTCATCATTTTTATCTTTCGATGTCTATAGATATAGTTGCGATTAACGTTCAAGATATTACAAAGGTTACATTATCATAAATACAATATCTTGATATAGATAATTCGTATATTCCATCATTTTATTTTGTATCAGAAAACTGTTAACGAGTTAAAAAAGATATTCTAATTAAACAAACATATTTAGTATCAATAATTATATCTTTATCTAAATCCTTGTCAAGATTAACAAAGCCTTCAATTTCGTGATAATATACAAGATCAGAATCGTATAACAGATTCTTATTGAGATTAAACGTACAAGTAAATGAAATCTCCTTAAAGGGAATTATGACTTCACATTGAATTAAATATTTCAATATACATTTTTTATCTCTATGATTTGCATTATTGTTTTCAATTAAAAAAATGTCAAATGCATCTAGTCATGTCAATGCATAAAATATATAAAACTGCTCGGAGATTAAAATATGTTACACGAATGACGTAGGTGATAATAAAATGTAAAATTAGCATTTTTCAGATTTGACGATTGAAAATAATAATGAGAGGCAATAATAATAGTTTTATTGTCTTACAAAAACCACAGAACACACGGTAAATTTGTTTAATATCCGAAGTATCAAAAAGCTTCAGCACATAAAAAGACATATTGCCCAGGTAGGCTATAAGCAAATCTTTTAAAAATAATTTCCACAGCAACGAATCCTAAGATGAGCTACAAGTATATTATATTGACATTTGAAAATATTAGGAGGTCCGTTCTCACGTCTGAAGATAAAAAATATGAGGATACCACATAACAAATGTGCTATTATAACATGGGCTTCCAGGTACTTAAGGGAATACATTTTTATTTAATCGTCACTGTTTTACCTTTCCTCCAGTTAAATAGTTAACGCGTATTTTTCATAATCCGATTATAATTCTACTGGTTATAAAATTGAAAATAAAGGACTATGCAATTTCAACTGATAATATATTAAAATTTATCGAAGCGAATTTTGATTTTGGGCTGTTATCAGTCGCACGGACTGAAGCGTCAAAATCAATGATTCAAGCAGCGTAGATACTATAAGGAAACTGGCAACTGACGTTAAAGAGAAAATAAAAGATTGGCACAACATGTGCTCATAAGAGTTCTTGATCGTGACCACAAAGTTATTGGAAAACGTTGTAGCAGACCTGTAGCCTTTAGACGTGTGAAATACAGTTATTGGTACAACGCTATTTTTATTAAACAGTTATAAGACTTTATATCATGTACTGAGATTACAATAGAAAATGCGTTCGTTAAAATTTAATTTTCAAAGCATCACCAAAGTTAGAATTTCGTTATTCGAGCTTGCATATATGAGTTTTATCATAAAAATTATTTTCACAGGAAATTGGAATTTTATACTTTTCTTTTTAAATTCGATTTTATTATAGTTAACTTATCTTCTCATTTTTAACGTATTGCATTTAACATAATCTTAACCTTTACTTTGTACTATTAGTCTGACAAATCCCTATTCTAACAAATTTGATATTTTACAAAGCCAAAGTCAGCAAGATTGTACATACTACTTCCTGTTCCTAACGTGTATTGTCTTATTCTCCTTTGTTACACGAGGAAGATCAATGACGTACTTGCAATTCAATGACGTAAGAAGAATGAAGGAACGAGCACTCCTATCAAGTATTATCGACGTAAGTACTCGAGGTCAGTAAATATTGTCACAATATTTAAGTTTACACAACAGACCTATTTCACTTTATACAGTACTTAGTAAAGAATTTTAATACGCTGACCAAATACACTTTTTTAATGAAAATTTCTTATTATTTTTATTACATAACGTTCGCACGAGTAGATCATCGTAAGTGATTAATAATAATCATTGCATAATAAACGGCTGCGAAAAAAATCAATTATACATACACATATTAATATGTAAGACAGTATATTAGTAGTTAACAATGAATAGATGATTACAATCCAGAATTACATTGAAACAAAAGAAAGTATAACGGGTGCATAAAGCAAAGGGAACATCAAAGCTATGATCGATCGACGAGTAAAGTGCGTGACATTAGGGACTCTTGCGTATTGAAAGTCATAAAGAGGTGGCCCCTCGGGAATATATTTTACTCGTGGAAAGACTATACACGAAGCACGTCGAAACAAACGTAACTAAACATCGTTGCGACATTAAACACGGCCACTCTTCACAAACACGATAGAGGGATTAAATGTAATATTATTCAAATTAAATATTTACCATGAAGTGAAGAAAGTCTATACTCCAAATGTAACAATAGTGGAATATGACAGCAGGTTCTTGTAATAAAAGTAATAAATGAATTGACTGTAAATCATCATCATGTAATGAGAATTGAATATGATTTCATTAAAATTAATTTTGACTACGTATTATTTGATTTAATAAAGTATATGCAATAAATATAGTATTCGCACTGATCATCCGATGGGAAAGTATCATATGTGCGATAATAGGGAAGTATCTACGAGAAGAGAGGGGTGACGTTTAGCGTACCTAATCCAACATTGGAAACACGTAGACCGCTTTTGCCCAAGTTGCGGTAGCGAATACCTGGCGAAGGATGCTGTAAGCGTTGTGCCTGTGCAGCAATGCAGTTGGTCAGCAATTGTTCCTTAGTCCCTGCCGTGGTACTGCAGTTTACTCCAGAATCTCCGCCGCCACCACCGGCATTAAATTCTTCCATGCAATCCAAACTCGCTATCGGAGCACGACACCTGTCACATATCACAATTAAAAATTTCAATTCAAGCATAGAAGATCTTGTCATCTCAAGATCGTCACGATAAGTACTCGAGAATATATGTATATATATTACATGTTACTAAAATCTCACATTGGGAAATGAAGCACCTAAAAAAGAAAAGTGATATATAAAATATAATATATTGCATGCTATTATTATCGCATCTAATTCAGCGTGTGACATAAGACTCGAAATTCGCATGGATACAATTTCAAAGGTAATTTAAAAATATTGATATAAATTAAAGTCAAATTTACATATCGGGTGCCAAATAATTTATTAATATTTATTCTGTGTCTGCAGATGCTAAGCATATTTAATCACAATTGTACCAGCTGTTCGGCAGCCAATTCCAATAGACTTTAAAACTTAGTATTTTGTCGTTAAAATTTTTTCGAAGTCGCAAATTTTATCACGCGAACACCAAATTTTTCTTAATCAATGAACAAAGGTAAATAAAAGCTCAGGGAATTCCAACTTAGTGGCAGTGTTCGTACAGTTTGTACCACTTCTAAAGCCAAACTGGTTTACCCCCACCTTGATACTGCATTCCAGCCATGTATAAGTAAGCACTCCTGCCTTGTTTCCTACTTAAGCTTCCGTCTGACGCACGCGCTTTGCACTGAAATCCGCGTGCTAGGTAGTCGTGACGTCTCAATGACAGTTTCCCCAAAGAATACCCGAATAGTAACGCGAGTCTGTTTTCCTTTAACCGGTTTGATTGGTCAGCCTGTTCAAAAAACTTTGAAACCTTTAAAACTCCCTTCTGGTACTATGCGGGACGTCGAACGGATTGGTACTGGTCTGCAGAATCTCTTCGCCTATCCCGGAACCAACGAGGATATATAGAAGCATACTGGACGTGGCAGCTCCAACACCCACCCCCTAGCCTGTAGTTCAGGTTCTGCCCTCTACTGAAATACTAATTTCCTGGGAATTTCACAGCGTTACGAGTTTCTAAAGACTCACGGTACCATGCCTTTTATCGATAATTAATCAGACGCACTCATATGCGATTACAATTATTTGAATTTGAAATTGAGATATCTCCAGAATCTGAGCGTCATTCAATTATTACGATGACTGAGGGAATTAGAAAAAAATTTTTTATCACAATTTTTTTCCATAGCTCAGTCATTAGCGTTGTAAGACTCAGCAATATTTATTATATTTTTATCTTACAATTTCCACTCAATCTTTTCTACTTGATTTTAGGTTCAACAATTTTTTATACGAAAAAAATTATAAAATTATATATAACAAAATAATAATCAAGAAGATAATTGATACTGTGAATTTTATTAATTATAAATAATGATTATTCGATAAGGCACGATCTCACGCTTGATACAGAGATATTCTGTAAATATATTTAACTCCTATGTACAACATACATTGATCACGTGCTATTTATCGATAGTTAAAAATTTCAAAGAAAGTATGAAGAAAATTAGGCATACGAATCAATCTAGGAAAACTCAACAAGGAATTTATTCTGTAAAAAAAGATCGTACCGATAAATCGTAGGTAGTGGGTACGAGTCGTCATCTTCCATACTGCTATTGGTGTTCGCGTTGTTGTTTGTGTCATTTCCCGTATTCGAACTATTTCCAAGATTGCATAGCATTAAGTGTGACATCACTGACGAAACGACAGTTACAACCGAACGAATACGAACGTGACGCGTACCAAAGCGCAGAACCTTGAAAAGTTCGCGATCAGGTTCGATAGCATATGGCAACTTCCATTATTTGTCAAAATGTAATCGACAAGACCGTCCGTAGTTGTTTATAGACCGGCAGCTTACGAATCAATCCTCATAGTTGGCCGTAACGATACTTATACCGTAAATGAACACTAGAATTACACATATATATGTATCTACGTATATAGACACATATACGGTACATATGATGTTGACTGTCAGATCGATCAAGCGAATCAATGTATTTATTATTGCACATACGATTTAGGCACTAGTTTATTGAATCATTTATAGGCACCGTTTAAGAGAGATCCCCGTGGCTATTGTGTTGCCGTTATTATTATTATTATCGTCGTTATCATCATCATCATCCTCATAATCCTCGATTATGATCACAACGACTGTTCATATTTTGAGTAATTATCCAAAATTACTATTTACAAGGGATAGTCGATATGAGCCTAGATATGTGAGACGATTCATTCGATACCTATAACCCAGTTCTCCGGAACACGCGATTCGCGGCGGCGATGACGAGGACGACGTCGACAATCGAGAGATATCTCCTTGTAGCGTTACACCCTAACCTTACGGATGATATACGTCATATAATAATCTAGGATACACATTAGGTACGGTAACGGCGATAATGGCTTTTAGAAAGAAACACACACAAATGGTAAATGAAACGTTAGTAAAAATATGTTTAACGGCAAGTGTTGTGCTCTCTGCGCGGTAGGCAACACTGCGCGGCTCTCAGGTACCGCACAAGAGGGTGAGATTCTCCCTGACGTGGAAAGAGGGCAGCAAGAGCGCATGACTCCGTCGCATCCAGCAACGCATGGATCGACTCGTTTCTCCTCTATTAATATATACCTGCATACAGCCGGCCACCACCGTCGCCGCCACCCTCTCTATTCGCCAAACCCCGCTTTGCTTTCTATCCCCACCGACAATCTCTACTGTAATATCCTATCCTCGTCGCTCCGCTTCGTGTCTTACCCAGAAGCTTCCGACGTTCCCCACCATTACGGCAGCTCCGCGCCACGGTAACTATGCCGAACCAACGAACTCGCCGGCAACGCCGCATTGCGGATCTGCACGCTGGCATCACGACCAACCCCATCTTCAATCGGGGGAACCTAGCAACCTAGCAACCTACCAACCTACCTTTTCCCTCCGACCTACTGACTAACCTATCTTGCAAATATCTCACCGAATTCGAGGTTATCCCGATTGTGAAGTGTCAAGGACCTAAACTGACATTCTCCGTCCGAGCGTCTGGTTCTTGTGGATTTAGCAGAAGGGTGGGGAAAGATTCGAACGTCATACTCCATCTTCGTTTTTTTCTCTCACTCTTTTTCTCTTTATATCCAACTATCTATCTCCTTTTTATTCTCTTCTTTTTACTACAGCTCATTTCTTTTCTATCGTCTTATCTTCTCTATCCCATTACGCTTGTTCGCCCCTACCTTGTCTCTCGTCCTTTATTCCACTTCCGTTATCCTCGCTTGTTCAGACGCGACAGCGATTGCTTCTGTCATAGCAGCTTTTTCCAGGTTAGTTTCTTTTTCCTTTTTTTTTACTGTCTAACGTACCGCGTTGTTCGCTTCGACGAAGCTTCGATGGGAAATCAGCGAGAGAATTCTTTTTAGAACGATCGATCGACGTGCGACCTGGATCCCAGCAGTTTCGTCTCGATCTTATCAGTATATCGATACGCTTCCTTTACAGGCTACTCTTCTTTTTGCACCGTTCGAAACTCAATTATCCTTTTGCGAATACTTTAATACTTGCGCATTCATCTGTGAAAGACCAGGTAAAGTATTAATTCAATTGATCTTTACTGTGATCATTTTTTTAAAGTTATTTATTGCGTAAACAATTATACTCTCAATGGGACATAAGATGTTTCTGCGTGCATTTACCTAACAGTGATGCTGATAAATGGATTAAATCCTCAAACAAAATAGTTACTTCGGCTACTGTTTTACTAATGGATTATTGATTTAACGTAAGTTAGAATTCTGTACGCTGCGTGTTACAGTTACTTGGAGCGTGGGTGGATCAAGTTGTTTTATAAGGCTAAATCAATGTAGGATACAAGTGTGAATACTAATCTATATCATCGATCATACTCGAAAGAAAATAGACGGATCGCATTAAAAATGGGCACATCAACCTGTCGATTTCAATATTGAACTATAATAAAGATATTTTAATACACGGCACTATAATAGAAATCATATAGCTAGTTAAAATTCTGTGCGAAAATCTTTTATTAATATTTAATATATATTTTAATGACGAAAGATAAACAGTCATTTGGAGAAATCATTTAATCTTGCATTAGCTTCGTCGCATTTTATATATGTGTGTATATATATGCACGACAGATTTACTCGTCAGAATTATACCAAAAAGAAATGCTCATAAATCGTTCGGATCATTTTTGAATAAGGCGATAGAGATTTAGTGCCTACCTCCGTTGTTAAACACATCGAGCAGGAAGATCTTCCGACTGGCCATTTATAATAATTTATTACAGATATATTAATCTTAATTTGTTAATTAACTAGCTACATGGTTGCGTATGTGGTCTAATGTCAGTGCGTGATATTAAATACATCGAAGGTCAATATTAACGGTGTTTTTTCAATTTTAACATATGGTTAACGAAACCTATATCGCTGCCTGTGATGGATCAAATTTTCATACCGGAGAAATTATCAATTGAAGAATCATTCGTCCCGATAAAATTGTACCCTCGATAAAAATAGTGATTACCAGAGAAAAAAAAAGGGAAACGAGGTAAACGTGATATAACGTTTAAAAAAGAATCTTATATAATTCGTGATCTTGCAATATATCCTGCTGTAAAAATTGAACAGTAATCCTAAAAGATACGTGACAAGATACTCGCACGCGTAATCGCAGAGTTAGTGGAATCGCATGAGTATTGAAAAAAAAAAAAGAAAAATGAGAAAATAGACCATACCCAAAGAAAACAAAAGTTTTGCATTTTTAATCCAAGGCTTTAATTGGCCTATCGTATTTCTGTGCTTATACATATACGGTCAAAGCTTCCTTTGAAGCAGCCATTAATTGTAATATCTCTCTCGATGATCGATCTATCGATCGCCTTCGACTTTATGATCGCGTGTCCACTGCCTTACTTCTCATACGTCTAGTGAAACTTGGCGTCTGACCGTTTAAGGTATGTAACTACTTCGGAGCGCAGACGTGCATCATCTCTCCGTATAGGCGTGAGCAACCGTCTAGAACGTATTCTATTACTGATCTAATCCGTAAGGTAGACAACTCCTTAAATGTAGGGGTGTTATAATTTAATAATAATGCAATACCTAGTTGATATTACGCTAAATGACAGACGTATAAAATGTGTTGTTCCTCAACTCTTTATCGTAATAAATGTAATATTAAAACTGTACACACAAAAAAATTCTCATGTAGTCAATATATAAGCACCCTTCCTCAGTTTATCGTGTTTCGCAGGTTCGCACAGAGAGAGCCTACGACAGTTAGAATCGTCGGAACAGATATATTCGGTGTGCGCGTCCGATGCACGATCATTTGACCGTCCTCTGACAAGTGGGCAGATTCACCCTGAAGAATACATTGAGCTCGATCAGGGAGGCCAGAATGAGAAATACTGCGTACATACAGAGACAGGCCCGGCCTACTTTTCTATCTAGCTGAAATTTATTTGACGCGAACGCAATGTATAACATCATTAGCGTCGATAGTAGAGAAATTGCGCTGTACTCGAGGCCACCCGAGTTTATGCTGATATAGTGCTTTCCTGGTTGCGTAGGTGAGAAGGAGGATTTGATCAGCCAAGGTAGACCCAGGCAGAGTAGAATATCGAACGTGTTTGAACCAATCGAATTGCTTATGCCCATGGAGCCATGACCTGAAAATTAAAGACTCGTGTTTTCGAACTGTCCTCGACTATTGTGAAAGTACTTTCTTCTGATATGAACTATTATGGGCTTCTTCTTTATTTAAGGGAAGAAGCGGCTTCCCAGGGATATACGATGTCAATGTCATTGCATTTTTGCAATTGATAGAGCGGATTAACGTAAGTGATACCTTGCTTCGCTACAATCACGCTGGACACCGCTTCCGGGACGCTGGTTCCAGCTGCGAGGAATGTGATACCCATTACAGAGTCCGGTATTTTTAATGTGTCACCTAAAAGTCACATTGTTCTATATCGTCCACATGTTAATTATAGATTTAATTTTATGAAATTCATAAAATTTAAAAAAAAAATGAAAACTTTCACTAGGCACTTACCGATTATCGTTATCATCCATGCGACGACGTAACTCAGAGATCCGATCCAAATGATGCACATAAGAAACGTTATGGGGAACCAATTTTTGAAACGCGGTTTATTGCAATCCGGTATCGTGCACATGAAAACCAAGTGTATCGGCCACGTTATCACCCAAGCAGTCTTGCGTATCCATCCACCACGTGCTGGCCATACTAGAAGCTCGTACTCATAATCTAAAATAACTTGAGCGATTAAAAATGCGATAGCACCAAATTTTTACGAACTCTGAAGAATACGGCGTAGTGCACTATGAAATAGTAGATTGGAATTGAATTATTATTTTTTTTTTTTTAATAAAATGTTACAAAAATAAATGTAACAAATTATTTTAAAAGAAACATTATTTTACGTCTTACCAGGGTCATGATTTTCTTCTTGAGTTTTCGTACCACCATTCTGCAATGGGACGTCAATAGTCGCCACTTGTTCCACACGGTCGCCACTCGATTGTAATTTATCTGGTCTGGATAGATGAACTTCTCCGGCATCTCCTACAAACCAATATCAAGATTACGATCCAATTGCGCAAGACAACCGATCTTAATACAATACGTTTCTGTTATTGCGGATTACGCGATTTATTCTCAGATAAAAAATAATACAACACCAATACAGTAACCGTGTTGAACAATTTTTTAAACAATTTATACATTGAGATTACTATTGATTCTCAGTCTTAACCTGTCACGTGAGAAAAACAACAATTTACCCCATTTCGCTCGTTACGTCGATTATTGACGTCAAAGACGGAAACGACCGTTCCCCTAATATCGGCCACCTCATAAATAACTGTTCTAATCGATAGACGTACGCAATCAAAGGTACAACACAAAAACACAGAGACGTTATCTCGAACGTGTCAATATGCCAATGCCTCATGAAATGCTAACACTTTCACTTGTGATAACAAACAACTGTGTGGACATTTAGATGTTGTGTTACATAAAAAGGTTCTTGAACCTGTCAACCGACAATTATTTCTGATACGATCAAGATATCATGTAAAATTTTCTATATATGAACTCACACGAAATGCTTTAAATATATGCCTAGCGCTCGTAAAATATTTTGTGAATATTTTTTTATATCGCAGTAACCAACAGTAGTTTCAAGATATAATCATATATTTACGGAGTATTCCGTTTTTTAACTTGCGAACTGACCTCCTGCCCGCGGCCAGGCACAGAAGTTATTTTGCATTGAAATTTTAAAATATATATCAATATTATCGCCGAGTCGTATTTTATGGATAAAATTTAGAATAATTTTACCTGTACCGATATGGCAGTCATCCGATGACAGCTGACTGTTTTTCGTGCGAAACCTGGTACATCGTTGAAAGGATTTGTCCCAGTACATAACAGCTATGTAAACGATGTATAGTAGTACCAATGTTAATGCCTCGTACCACTCAACACGTTCGTCGTGGATTATGCAGATTAAGATGGCTACTGTTACTCCATAAGCAAGGCAATCTCTGCTGACAGGCCACCAATCCAATGGAACGACCTGCATAACGTTATTATTTTCCAATGAGTAATATAACAGATTCGTAACCTCTAATACGTACAAAGTGTACGCGACGCGTCGAAAATAAAATAAAGTGATAAAAATCATTTGTTAAAAAATTACGTGCTTTAGAAAAAAAAATAAAAGGTGTCGCGAGAAACCAAAAGGTCAAAGAATCCCGTGTCTCTCTCGGACACGTGTACGATGGTCCAAGGTAAAATATATTTTCTGTACCTAAATCACCACTAAATTTTATAGACTTCTGTGAAAATTTCCTTTGACCTCATGATCTAAACTCACTCTGGTAAGCCATCCTTATCTTCATGAACCTGTACAGCATACAAGTACGCATTTCAATTAGCCCTTGAATCTGATATACTACACTATCGAACACGTGTGCAACACAAGGGTCATGCAAAACTGAATTTCCCAGCTGTTCATGTCGAACACACGTACGTACACAGATCCTATACAGAGTACCCATATAATCGGTAAATGATTACATTCCCGTGAAAAAAAAAAGATACCGATAAAAATACTAGGCATAACCTCGCTCTCATTAAGCGAATAACGAAGAATAAATTACGTGACGCGTTCGTTTCCGTAAAGTCTGAATATTATCGACTCTAGACGAAATGCCAGTATATACAAAGTTTAACACAAAAGTTACCAACCATTCCAGCACCAATTCCACAGCAAGCTGGTACTGCGAGTATATTGAACACGGCCGAGCCAACAATAGTTCCAACGCCAATGTCCCCTTCGGTGATGAAGGTTCCAATTGCATTTACGAATAATTCCGGAGCCGAAGTCGCCGCTGCCATAAATGTGGCACCAGCCACGTCTTTCGACATTGACAATGCTAAAACATCGAAACATTAACGATTCGTAAGAAAAATTCTTCGCGACGCTGCTTATGACATATGCTACTCGTAGCCAAGAGTATTTACTGTCGGTGGACACTGTACAAAAGTATATTATTAATACACTATTTTGTACTTTGACCCTGTCAAAGTGACAGTTCGCATGTTTATCGTTACGCTCAAAATACAACCTTACCGTGACATATTTTTTCTACGGCAGGTACGAAGAACTTATCGCAGACTACTGCTAACGCGATAAAGAGGTAAAGGGATACGATGACGTGTACGACGACAGCCCCGTCTTGTCGCTGCTTCTCGTCGAATAAGTCATGTGGAAAGTCTTCGATCGCGGGTAGTGTGCAATTGATACCTGTAACATTAAAAATAATAATTCATTAAAATTATGTCAATTCTAATTTAATTAGATATTTTATTATATTCGTTTTGTGTAATTGACGTTAGATATCTATGTCACACAGAAAATACAGCCAATCATCTTCGTTAAACTATTGGGTACACGTATCGTGTTAAATAATTCTAATCGGCGCAAAGAGATTCTTTTTAAAGTACTACAAGCCAGCTTCGGGATATAGTTCGCGCGTACTCGTACCGCGAGTCAGTATACTCGGTGCTAATGCGAGTTCGTTCCCTGGTACAGTTACCGCGGCCTGCCTATACGGTATTCACACGATACCTTTACTGTCAAAGTGATCACATAATTGACACAGCAATAGCGCTTAATCGCGCGTGGTATAGTATTTAGCGTGTTTGGTATTTCTGACAGCACAAACAGAGATAAGATGATCAGCGAAGAGAGGAGAATTGGTCTAACGTTACACGAATCAAAGTGGTCGCTTGTAAGCCGAGTAACGCGTAGGCACAGTCGTTGACTTTCCTTACAAGAATTTAGCATGAACTGATTGGTGGTTATTATACGCAAAATTATTCTCATAAAATCTGGAGTAGGATTTACTGAGTACTTGAGAAATGAGTATCACGAAGAAATCGATAAGAAAGTCGTAGTCGAATGATAATTTGTCGATTAAATATTGTCGATAAAAAAATTCTAAATGTTGAACAATAATTTTTTTTTACGCGCATCGTGTCAACACAGAAAGTAGGACGCGGATCGTTGCTGGAGTTCGGGAAATAATAATTATCGTCGCTAGCTACGCATTTTCTGCTCCGGATGCTCCACTCCCTGATGGCAGCATTTGTGAAATATACCATTCACGTAATGCCCCGACTATTGAACGTCGCTAATAAAAGGGCCTAATTATCAATAAACACGAAGTCGGTCAGGTCCTATTTGAGGCTGCCTAAAAGTCATAGCCATGCGCGCTATGCTAGGAGGACGAGTGCTCGTTGCAGACACGCGTCAATTACATCGCAACAAAATTGCAGCGCACGATAGTAAAACACCGAATCGCCAAGTAGGAAGCGACTCGTTAAACGTCCCCGGCGATTCTCAATTTTGTCATTTCGCAATATCGCGCCTTCCCTTATTTAGGAAAATTATACGTCAGACGCGTCTGCTCGAGTGGTGTACGACAGATACCACGTACTTTAAAGAAATTATTTTGTGAGAGAAAAAAAATTCCTCAGATTTCTTCGTTATCTCGGACGTTTTTACATATACCTTCCGTTTGATACAGCCAGTACTACGTATCGTCTCGCTTGATAGGATCTACGAAATATAATCATTGATTTATCGATTTTCATTCATATAAATCCTGGATGACTTATGAAATGATTCAAGCACGCCTTGCGCGTATGCGGTACGAAGACTCGAGAACTCTGCCGACCGGTTAGCACTAACATAAGAGTTAATAGCCGTTTCCGAGCGAAGCGGCGTACGATTTCAATTGAAGGACTTGGAAGACTCATGGAACATCCCGCGAGAGAGTAAGAGAAGAGAAGAGAAGTAGTAAATGAAAGAGAGAGAGGCGGCGGGGGGGGGGGGGGGGGGGGGGAGAAAAAAAAAAAAAAATCAAG